CACTCCATTCTTACCGCCTCCATCCATTTCCTTTTATATTAATTGCGATGAATTATTGTACCATAAGATTATCGGAATGACAGAGCTCTTTCATATGAACTTCTGTTTTCGACACAAAACTTCTCTCTATCGAAATATTCTCTGTGCAGGCTGCCTCTCAGACGACTAGTCAAATCGGTATTAATCTATTAGTAACACCAAGCTCCAATGCTCAGACGTCCTTTTTATTCAGTTTCTCCTCCTCCCTTCCGTCCTTTTGTTTAGGAAGAGGATTTTACTTTTCCTTACACTTATAAATAAGCTACAAATAATGATGCAGGCGAGGATGAAATAAAAAAACGCGGTGGTAATAGAGTAACGATATTAAGATTTAGCTCACGAAAAAGTATATATTGAGTAGCAAGTTGTTAGTTTCTGGTCGCTTAGCTTCAACTATTATACATCATCAGAAATTGTTGGTTACAACGATGGTATTATAGCTTTTTATATTTTATTAAACGGTAGATGAACCCATTAAATTATTAGGGCAAGATCTGGTACTCGCCCTATAATACACTATATCAATATTTTTTCCTTTTGAATGGGTTACGGCTGAAAAGATGGGCGGTGCGCTGTGTGTTTATACTGCACGTAAATTTATTGTTTTGCGTTAAAGCTACTCACCGATGTGTCAAAGAGAAAATGAAAGAAAATTTCGACGGAGAATGACCGCCCGGCAACTCTTTCAGCAATAAGTCTTGCCAGAGACATACAATTAGTGTAAATACGCAAAGAAATTATACAGAATTATTCACCATCAAGATAGAAGAGTACGAGTTTATTATTAGGAAAGCTTTAGTAGGAGATATCCATACAAATCATACTCGGATCTCATGGTATGCTGGAGATGCTGTATATAGGCCGCTGCGAAGCATTTATTACTTTTTACCTTTTGCTATTACTCGGCCAATTTTTAGCCAATCACGTGTAATTTATTGGTGCATGTACGACATACACTCGCTACATATTTGCAACAATAGACATAATGGGCTTCAATTATTAGGCATGTCAACCAATGATGAGGGACACGCTGTATCGCACTTAGCAGAGAAGAAGCAAGACATCGAGATTATTGACAGACTAATGCACACATACAAAGAAGAGTAGGTTCTGAAAGATAGGCAAACATTGACAACAATAGTCAAATTCTATAAGTAAAACAAGCACCACTGAGAACACACGATTAGCTCTAGAGCGATCAAGAGCGAACAGTAATGGAGCTCCTGAATAGCAAGGTAGGGGAGAAAGCGTTAGAGCTCTCCCAGTAGTACGAGTATCTCATCCCGGATAAGTGAATTGAGATTTTAGCTATTTACGTGATGAGATTAGCCCATTTGAGTTTGCGGCTAAAAAGGTTTTGTCCGTTGGACGGTTGTAAAAATCACTGTGAAGCCATGGCAGCCTGTGATGAAGTAACATGTTGGTGTTATTAAAAGGAAAGGAGCTGCGCATTCTTCCAAAAAAACGAAATGCCAAAATGTAACTGACTACATATAATCGGTGAGGTATAAGAAGTTAAACAGCAGTCTCTACCGATTCTGGGGGACAGGGTAGGTAAATCTGTTATAATTCACTCCGTAACATATTTGCTTTGTCTAGTCATGTCTTCTGAAGTTTCCCTGGTGTACAAGGCATTGAAACTATCTATTTATAATTTGGCAGTGTCTAGGAATTTTTTTTTCTATGAGGCAGGCCTACACATTTATGCGTTAGAATGAAGCCTCCCGGAACACCAAGAGTAGCTTGAGACGCGATTCTAGCTATTCTTAGAACGATCGAAGATTATTCTAACGCAAACGATACTGCTTTTTCCGCTGCGTGCATAATGCGTTGATTTATCATTGCGTCGACGCTGCTTGCCATCAGGATCGAGTGGATAAGACGCTTTGAAGACTCTGTATTTTAAACGACACTCACATTACCAGGTTACGAGCTAAATTGCGACACGCTTACGTAACCCTTTTTCCGGCCCGCGTAGAAGATGAGGGAAAAAATGTTGCTAAGGTGCAATCCGCTCTTGCAGACACTATGATTCGGTATGCTGTACCTCCTCAGTTACGTCCTTTGCAAGTTGACAGCCACGGTGAATTTTTTTACCTGATTTTCTTTGACGGTGGATTTGCGAGAAATTTTGGCCCAGGAGGATCTAGATCCGTCAATGTCAAAGTTAAGATTCCTATGCTCGCTGCTGGCGTCTTGTAAGTAGAGATTATAGCCAACGGGCATCCATCGACTACCAAAAGCAATATTAAATATCGGATCCTTGTTTCTCAGGCATCGGCATGCGTTACTGTCCGCTACATAAATTTGGGGACATGCCCTGTAACGGGGTAGCCCGTTACATGAAATTGACACCAAACGGTGTCAATAGGAATATTATCTAGCGTGACAATATTCTACCAATATTATCCGGTATGGATAATATTGAAGGAGTGTTATCCCTCTTTTGGATGATATTCAGGCGCTGCTCCAAGATTGGTTGATGTAAGACATGTCAACCATAGATTGCCACCAATCGCAGCTAGACGCGCGCAATGAGTGGTGAGCAGGTCGTCGTCATACGACGGCACAGTTTAATATAGTTAGATAAAGACTGAATTTATATTGATAGCTTAACTATATTAAATACAGTTCTCTTTTTACCTTTACTTGACCGAGTCGTTCAAGTAGATTAGCTTCCTCTGCACGTACTAGTGTACGTGAAGTTTCGCGGCTCCCTCGAAACTTCACGTACACTGGTAGCACTTTGTAGTCCTCCAACGACTACTTAGTGTCCGTCCAGCCTGAACATGTTGGACGTAGAAGACGACAGCTTTTAAGTCACACGTGAAGGCTACTCCTATCTGAGTGACTCAGAATGGGAGGTAGTCGGCCGCATGAGTGTGCTCATGGGCGAACCCGCCATCAGTGGTATGTTGGAGTCACTAAACAGAAGCCAGAAACATGCTGCTATCAACAAGTTCCTACAAGGGGAACTTGCCGTCGAACGAAAGAAGATATCCTTTCTACAGCAGCAAGGCTCTCATCATTCGATGGGCGTGCCGACGCACATGCTTCGACCCGAAACCTTGAAGATTGATATCTCAAGGTACAAGGGAACCGATGAAGATTCCTGTTTGAGATGTTTTATCGAGTTAGTTGATACCATCAGGGCCCGTCACATCGAGGATGACGAGATGCAAGTCACCTTTGCCCTGTCAAATTTAACGGGACGAGCAAGGACTTGGGCCTCGGGGCTCAATCTTCACGACCCAAACGTGTTTGAGTCTTTGGAGATCTTGAAGTCTCGGCTCAAAGAACGCTTGAGCCGCCGAGAGCCGAGTTCAGAGTTCAGAGAACGTGCTGCATTCCTAAGGCTCAAGCAAGGTTAGCGTGACGTGCACGCTTACGCACAGCACCTGCGCTACCTTGCGAGTAGCGTCACGAAATGCTCTGTTGATGAGCACACGCTCATCGACGTGTTCTTCTACGGTCTTGTGGATGGGCCGGTGAAGACCTACATGTTCCGAGAGGGTTTCCATACGCTGGAAAGGGCGACAGCGTATGCGGAATTAGAAGACTTCAGCCTGAGACAGTCTCAGGCTAATACGTCAAAATATCTTCCGACGAGACGACAGGAAACAGAAGGTCCCAAACCAATGAACCTCTGTGACATCGAGAGCGAGAACTCTCGCTCTCTGAGTCACAAGCGAACGGAAAGATGCCATCGCTGTCAGAAAATTGGACACTACGCTCATGAGTGTAGTGTCCCGAGCACTGCAACACGTCCAAAGACAGGACTTGACAACCGCCGTTGGCCAAGTAAGGGTTCGAGGCGTGGGTCCGACCATGTTGCCATGACGCAATAGCAAGTCAGACCGCCAAAAAAAATGGTCAGGGTCAGTAGGGGCGGAGCACCCTGCTGATCCAGCAACGTCAAGAAAATTTGCAGGACTCTTGACGAATATTGCTCCCAAAACACAGTCACTGTGTCTAACTTCCCCTAGTTATAAGGAATCCCTCATCACTTTGAAGATCGAAGTGACAAGTGGAATGTCACTTCGCGCCCTAGTTGACTGTGGAGCGTCGAACTGCTTTATTCGACGCCAGTCGCTAGGGGATAGTAAGCTCAACTATGTTGAGCGAGAGTTCCCTCCAACGAGGATGACGGTGTGCCTTGCTACAAGCGCATACGTAACAGTGAACAAACGTGTAGTAGGAATCCACTACATGCTAGAAGGAAAGCAGTACGATGATAGATTTATCGTATTAGATTTGGATGACAAATTTGATGTCATCCTTGGTCTGCCATGGCTTAGAAAGTACCGGCCATGGGTCATCTGTCAGCATCGATCCGTAAAGATGCCTGCCGTTTGTTCATCAGATGTCCATCTGATGAACGTCTTGGAGCGTCCACAAGCGTGTGGATATACTACGAGTGAGTGCGATGACCTCACTTGTGGTACGGTCGTTATTACGATTGCACAAGATCACGTGTAGAAGGCCACTGCACGGTGGAACAGATCCCGGCACCTGTGTAGAGACACAGGATAAGCCGAAGGTTCACCACTCGAAGAGATCTAGTGGACTGGAACACGGATGCACACCAAGAATTGTGCATCCGAGAAGAGAGACTTGTGTTGTTCAGGATGGACAACACGTTGAAGCGAGATCGAATATCAGAGAGTCGGTCGTAAAAGCAAACACTATCGACTGAAAGCGAGTCGATCGAAGAGGACGTGACTGTGGTAGTGCAACCACAGTCATTACACCTATTAGAAGAAAATTACAGCGTTCCTGAGAGTGATAACTGCCGAGAGAGTTATGTTGAGGGTGTGGATCCCCAACCACCTGCGGATGTGTTTTCCCAGGAAATCACCGAGTCAGTGAATGTCTTGGTGAATGATGGATCAAGTGTAGGGGCTTATACACTTGATCTGGTGACGCCCCCGAAGTCAGCGTCGGAGGTGATCAAGTTGCCAATGCTAGAATTCAAAAGATTCTTGCGAGATCTGCGTAGTGACAAGATCAAGCAGGTCTGCGTGCTCGTCACGGAGGACGAGTACGTCGCCGACATTCGGTCGGCACAAGTGTTTGCTGAGAACGAACAGGTTCTCAGTAGCTCATCTATGGACGAGAGTGTCCTCGATGAGAAGATTCGGATTGAGCGATACATGTCTCAATCTTTGTAGTCTTTGAAAACAAGTCCTTTGTATAAGGATTTGGTCGAATTCAGGAATGTTTCCTTTGAATCCGTGCCATGCGAGCTGCCCAAGGACAAGGGCACTCGGCATGAGATCGAACTGTACCCGGTTCAAAATACTGTTTCATGAAGCAGTGGTCACTACCTCGTGAACAGGTAATAGCGATCGACAAACTCTTCGCCACTCGTTTAGCTGCGGGCCGTGTGAGGGAATCAACATCCCCACACAGCTCTCCGTCCTTCTGTGTGCGAAAGGCCACAGGATGGTGGCGGATAGTGCACGCGTTCAGCAAACTGAACGCTGCAACGGTACCGGCTCAAAGGCCGATCCCAAGAAAGGACGTCATCATAGATGGTATGGCAAAGAGTACCCTCTTTTCATCCATGTATTAGATGGATGAATTCTATCAGATCCTCCTGCGTGAACGGGATATCCCTTACACAGCAATGAGCACCCGCAATGGTATGCTCTGGGAGTGCTAGTGATGCCACAGGGGCTAAGTAACGCCCCCGCAACGTTTAACAGATGTGTTACGAATCTGTTGCGGTCGGTGCGCGATTTCGCACCGAGTTACTTCGACGATGTCTTTGTCCATAGCCGGGCTATGGATGGGAAGACGTACATAAAGATTCATAGAATCCACGTCCGGAAGGTTCTTACTCTAATGCGAGAGCATAAGTTGTTCGTGAACATCAAGAAGTATTTGCAGCGAACTAAATACCACTTCTTTGCTGCATTGTGGGTAAAAAACGGTGTACGCCCTAATCCGGAAAAGATCAAGGCGATTAGCGACTGGCCTGTGCCAGTCGACGTCAAGGGACTTCTAAAGTTCCTTGGCTTGGCAGCGTATTTGCACAAATACTCGCGAAACTACGCCGAGATGACAGCACATCTCTCTCGTCTACTAAAGAAAAACGAGAGGTGGTCATGGAGCGCTGAGTGTCAGCACTTTTTCGAAGGCATCAATAAAAACTTGGTGCAATCGCCAACGCAGGCGATTGCAGACCAGGATAGGCCATTTCATGTGATCTGTGACGCCGGCGATTTTGTTATCGGCTGCGCGTTTATGCATTACGACTCAGACAGCGTTAAACGCGTCGTCTGTTAATAATCGCGTCAGCTGCAAGCAGCTAAGCGTACTTACCCCGTGCATGACAAGGAACTCCTTTCCATAAATTATACACTGGCCAAGTTTCGGGTATATCTCTTAGGAGATAGGCCCTTCATCGTTTATATACCGACCATGCGTCATTGCGCACGGCCGTAAACAGTCCACACCTCTCGCAACGAATGGCGAGGTTGCTGTCTTTCTTTGCGGAGTACAACTTCTCCGTCGAGTATAAACCAGGACGACTTAATGTCGTCGCTGATGCTCTTTCGCGTCGGCCCGATTTCGAGCCGACTGCTCAACCCAAGAGTAGGGGTGATCCCACTGTCGCGACACTACCAGTGAGTGTTCCGTCGTCGGATCTGCTCGATGATGTGCGAAAAGCATACGCAGAAGATGAGTCTCTTCTGCGGTTGATGGATTACGTGTCAAATCTATGCAGTCAAGCTTTGAAAAGCTTGTCGTCTCAATACCGATCTTCAACCGAACAGTATTCTGTTCGTGATGGACTGCTGTACTAGACAGAAGTAAACGGCGACACACCTTGTGTCGTCGTTACGGCTCATCATGATTTGCGATTGCACATCATGTATGAGTGTCCCAATGCCCCAACAAGTGGACATCGCGGTAGAGAAAAGACTTACCTCATGGTGAGTCGTGACTTCTACTAGCCCCGCCAGTATGAGCTTGTGCGGAAATACATTCGCGCTTGCGAAGTTTGTCAACGATTGAAGCGTAGTCCTTTAACTCGCGCACCCTTTCAGCCTCTTCCGATTCCGGCAGAGTGTTGGCAGTCCGTATCGATGATGGACTTCGCCTTTGGGTTTCCCAAAGACGTTCACAAGAATACTGGTGTTCTTGTGTTTGTCGATCGGTTCAGCAAGATGGTACATCTTGTTGCTGTACCGGAGTCAATCACAGCCCAGGGCTGTGCTCGTGTCTTCATCGATGCTATCTTCCGACTTCACGAGTTACCCCGTGAACTCAAGTCCGCTAGGGACCCCCGCCTCACAGCGGAGTTCTGGCAATCCGTGTCCCGTTCACTTAGAACACGTCTGACGATGTCAACTTGTGACCATCCAGAAACAGATGGTCAGACGGAACGCGTCAACCGCGTTCTCGAAGAGATACTTCGAGGGTATGTCCACTCGTTTACGAGCTGGAGTGAGTTCTTGCCGATGGCGGAATTCGCCATCAACTACTCGGTGCACGCGTCTACAACGCATACACCGTTCTTCGTGAATGGCCTACGCCATCCACGTTTACCCACCTTCTTAGAGTGTGACTCTAGTTTAGGGGTGGTGAACTCGCTCGAACAAAAACGATCTGGTTCTTGCTCATCACACGTTGACAATGGTGTCGACGTGATGGATGCCGATGTCGATCACATCGACACCGATGACGATGATGACGAAGATGCTGGCATACTCAGCATCGCCAATGACTGCCAAAGTGAGGACGATGACATCCTCACTGGTTAAGACAGCGTTCTTTCAGCAGTGCACACGAAGCGCACTGCTGTTGACAAGGATGAATCATCAGAGGAATTTCTGCTGACTCGCGAAGCGGTTGTCCGCTTCGTTCAAGACTCTGTTGCAGATGCACTAGACAGACAGAAGAGAAATGCAGACAAACATGGAAGGGCAAATGATCTTTCATCTGGTGTAGTAGACTCAGTTTTACTGTCTACAGTAAACCTACCGAAACAAGAAGTGACAAACGTGGGCAGCAGTAAATTACTGCCCAAGTATATCGGTCCATTTCGTGTGTTGCGCCGAATGGGCAGCGCATACATGATTAAACTGCCCCGTAAGATGCGTACGCATCCTACAATTTACGCTGGACGTCTCCGCCCGTACTATAAGTAAGAGCCCGTTTCGAGAGGCGAAGAAAACCTTTGTGGTCAGGGACCGAGACCACCTTCGAGTGGCTCCGTTTCAACGAGCCAGTCTGGTCGACTAGCGAAGCGACCTGTTCACGCAGTTGAGCGATGTCTCGACGAGCTACAGCCAGCTCGTCACGAAGAGAACGAGTCGAACGTTCGTTCTCAAGTTGCGCGAGCGCAAAAGCGGCATGATTGTCCGAACGATCGTGCGTCAGGGAATTCTAGTTATCCCTCATAAGATCCTCAAGCCCATAACGCCGAGATCATTCATGAGCCAGATCATCCTGCAACTGTTCCGTTAGACGGTTCAGCTCTCAAACATCAATTTTATTCGCCCCTCGAGCCGGATAAGGTGTTATCACCGCCACCACATCCTCTGGTGGACTCAAGCGGTGGTTAATGCTTCCTAGTGAAGCGTATTGTAAACCACCGCAATGTCAATGGCGTCCGGTCGAGCTACCTCGTCCGCAGGCGTGGCTAATACCGGCGTAGGACAGCTGGGAGCCTCGTGCCCAGCTACTTGTTGATGTCCTTGGTCTCGTCGAGCAGTACGGCGAGACCCAATCGCTGTGTTTGAAGTAGGGCCGTCGGAAAACGACCTTCCCGAACGCGAGTACAGGGATTGCAAGGTGTCATTCCTTTCGGCCATCTCGAAAGATATGCGCGCCCTCCAGTAGGGATTATTAGGGAGGTAGGCCTCCCTAGGGGCATGGTTCGAGTTTTCCAGGCAACCTGGACACGGATCACCCCTCGAGAGACACGATAATCCTGCCTCTATTGAAAGCCGGTGCGACTTGTACTGCGCCCCGACTGGGTTGCGTTTCTCAAACCTGATGCGAGCCAAGCCTCACGGCCAATGCACTCGATGTTGTGGATGAGGGCATTCCATCCCTGCAACAAGGCTTTGCCGTCCCGAACACGGCTACCATTGTACCACCGATGTTTGAAAAACGCATCGATGAAGAACTCTTCCTCAGCACTGATAGTTTCCGTGCTGAAATCAGGTGGACAAATCTTCCTGCAATCTAACAACGGGATTCGATCCCGTTCGGTAGTCGTGCCGGCCAACCGGTCCAACTCTCTGGATGGCAACATCCATGGAGACTCTACTTGGGGAGCGTGGCGCAGGACATTTCGTTCCTTGGCCTCTTGATTGTTGCCAGCGTGAGCACTGACACTAGTGACACCCCGATTCCTTAAGTTACTTCGCTCGTGATGATGTTTAGGTGCATCACCACCATTCCCATGCGTTCTACCGTTGGATGATCTTGCGTGAGGCGGAGATTTGTCGGAATAATCGCTCGATCCGAAGATCTCGGACATGATGCCGCCACGTTGACCAGAGCCAGTCAACCTGGCTCTTGCAGTGTCCGCCCTGGGTGATCCGGAGGCGTGAGGTGTCTCCTTCGAGTCGGACGCATCATCCGACTCGCCAGAATAGATGGGCTCTATCTCAGACTCGTCTTGATTACGACCCGAGGTACCCGCTGCAGGCGCAAAGGATGTACTTGTCGCTTGTGGTGACTCACTACGTGGAGTATTCACGACAAGAGGCGGCGAATCGCCTGCTGCTGAGGCATGAGAGGCACTTTCCGCGGCCGCACGCATGTGTGCAGCCGCTCATTAGCAGCTCGCGTGGTTTTTGAAACCATGCGTTGGATTGCCAATGAATGAATTTTGACCAACAAGTGCTCCCTTTCCCAGAGTGATCCAACGGAGGTCACCCTGTCCCAATCAATTCTAATTCAATCAAGGGTGATTGGTGGTAAGGGGGGGTGCTGTAACGGAGTAGCCCATTACATGAAACAGACACCAAACGGGGTCAATAGGAATATTATCTAGCGTGACAATATTCTACCAATATTATCCGGTATGGATAATATTGAAGGAGTGTTATCCCTCTTTTGGATGATATTCAGGCGCTGCTCCAAGATTGGTTGATATAAGACATATCAACCATAGATTGCCACCAATCGCAGCTAGACGCGCGCAATGAGTGGTGAGCAGGTCGTCGTCATACGACGGCACAGTTTAATATAGTTAGATAAAGACTGAATTTATATTGATAGCTTAACTATATTAAAAACAGTTCTCTTTTTACCTTTACTTGACCGAGTCGTTCAAGTAGATTAGCTTCCTCTGCACGTACGAGTGTACGTGAAGTTTCGCGGCACACCAAACAAAGGGTGCCCCGTTACATGCTCTGTGATATCCAGCTCCAAACGAATCGCTCACCAAGCGAGCACATCCTTTCACTACTGTACCAAGAGGCAAGTACTTGTACCGATGCTACCGGATTCGTCAGCTGGGGCCATCATTACCGCAACTACAATAAGATAGCGGATAACGTAGCAGATTTAGCCAAGAAAGTGATCTTCCGTTCAAACGACCGCTTCATCGAACCGTAGGAAGATCAACATGTTGCAACCTGTTTTGGTAAAGACATGGATTATTGTCTTTAGAACTTAACGGAAGAACAGTCCAATTTGAGCAAGGCCGACATGACTGCCGAAGGAAGGCGCTCTCATTCTCTAACAACTAGAGCAGCACAGATCATCCTCTCGCGTACGTTACATTAAAAAAGTGATTAGTTGAAATACACAAGGGTAATTTATGTATCGTTAGACACGATATAGTGGGTCAATCGCGTATCTAAAAGCATCCCCATAGGTGCATCATAAATCAGTTATAGCATATAGTTCTGGCTAGATTCGGCTCTTCGTGTTAAGGCGTTACATATTAAATTGACATATATTTATGAACCTTTTACAGATGCCCCAGCAGGCATAAATTTCTGGTTTCAACCTGGCACATTAGCGCCGCCTAGCACCTTATTTTCACGCTTTCCCACCCTCTTCTTCTCATCTTCCCGCGACGCCGATCTGCACCCACTCTCTTCAGCCACTATTTTCTTTTCTCTCCTGTTTATTCTCCTCCCATGGGCAAGTCTAGCCTGCAGTATACCAAATGCGTACCACACAATTTTGCTTACCGCCTACTGTTTTTGCGAAACATGCTTTATTATGTTAAACGTAGATATTAATATGATCTGAGACGGCCAGCACGTACCCAGACTAAACAATTTTATATAAAAGTATAGGACTTACCTACTTTTGTTTTTTGCCGGGGCGAAAATGTCTTGACGACGGTGGTATCATCGGTATGTGAGCTGTCGGCCAGATCATAGCCCATCACATTGTCGTGCCCTTTAAAGGCTAAATTAAAAGCCGCCGCTTGGTCGCTGCAAAGTTCCTGTAACAGCGATGAGCGATTCAGAACACTAATATCATTGTGTAATCCCGGCATGCCAAAAAAAGACATGCGAGATGTGAAGGCACTGCAAGGCGACGACATAAATTATGAATGTGGGCTTTTGCTACTTGTCAGTGTACTGGCCATACCAAGCGATGGGGAACTTTGTCCAGAACTAATGCATACAATCGAGCGAGAAAAGAATTCCCGGGAGCCTGAGAGCCTTACTATTCAGGAATGGATGTTGCACGACTTGCGCATTCAACTGGCGCAGACAAAGATCGACAAATGCTTGCATAATTGCTACGACGAAGCGACGCAGTCATTTGAGACCAGTACTCTCCACCATGCGTAGGGACTCATCCGAAGAATCTGGCAAGACGCCGTAGGCTGAACATTGCCGAGGGCACTTCTGTAGCACCGGGAAGTCCATCAGACCGGTTGCGTCTGGCCTTTCCGCAAAGTAGCAGTTGACCTGCTGCACTGTTTACTAGTTCCATATTGGCGAATAAGATATAAGGAACCGGCAGCGTAAATTGACAGCGTTATAGGTCGAATTCTCTACGATAAATCGTGTATCGCGCGCTCGTGTCCCTGTACGCGGTTGCAATCCTTTTTGACGAGACGATTTTGCGTTGGACCACTTAGCCTCGCGTCGGTCGACCGTTTTACAGTCTGTTCGACAATACAATGCTGCTGAGCAAACTTCGATAAAAACACGTCTTCATCGTCTTCAAAAAGGTACAGGTCGTCGTCGCTGCTCTCTTGCAAGAACGTGTAGTGTGGAAGAGGACGTGTGGTGTCGACGTGGCGTCTGAACGGGGACAACTCTAAGGGTCACGAGTGACGCGCTTATAGTTGGCCTGTAGAGTGGCCTCTGCAGACCCAAGATATTTTTTCAATGAATATCGCTATAGATGGCTGAAGTCCATAATTTTGTGAAGAGTTTATGTTTGCATCGCTGCGGATGCTCTAGAATAAACCTCACTTGTCTCTCAATCGCTCTGTTCGAATTTTAGATATTGTTTGGAAAATTAAAAAAGGCCCAGATAATTTAAAAAAAGTATGCCATGGATAATTGAAAAAGCCCCACGTCTTTTTATGCTCTAGTAAACGTGGTACAAATTATAATATGCATTTTACCGCCCTTTACTTTCCTTTCAATAGCCATGATGAACCCCCCGCTCTGCAGGCGGTGTTGCGTGAAGGGTTCTGTCGGAGGCGTGCTGCACTCGCAGCCACTAGTTGCGGACGCAAATAATACAGGTAAGATTTTAACGCGTTTATGTGTCGTCGGTCGTGGCCTTATGTGCAGACAATCGGTGCTGATGTTTTTTTAATTGACAACTTTGTTTTTGTTGTCGTATTTGTTATTGTTAATATCGCTTTCTAAATTTTGCTAATAAACTTTTAGAAAGCTGACATTGTTTTTTCAGCTATCACTGTGGCTGTATCCGTTGCTCTAACTAGTTTAATTTACCATGTGTTCCTGTTGCTTTTGATACCGCTGCTGCTAAAGTTGTTGTTGGTGCTGCCAATATCATTGTTGTCGGTACTGCTGTTAATGTTCGTGGTGTTAATACTGTTATGTAATGTTGCATGTACTGCATTGCTGCTACTGCTGTTGTATTTGTTTAGTTGAGTGAAATGAATGTGTTTCTTGCTTGTACGCTATAGATACTGAAGCATTATTAATAATTTATAAGACTATCACGAATCCATTATACCTGTTTGACTCTTCTTGTCAATTTAAAAAAGCTTTATAAGCTCTGATGGCGACAATTTAGTCCTGTCAGAGGGATCACTCGGTGCTGTTAATGGATTCTTGAACTTCTAGGACGACATGCTGGACGTGGACAGCCTAAGAATTTTTTTTAAACACACAAGACATTTGATTTGGTCGAAGTGTAAACGCACTACGACATACATTTTATTGTAAAAAAAAATAATTACAATCTGCACTGAATTTTAAATACAGATTTCAACAAGACTCTTTTAAATTGTATCCACCAGCCCTTAGCATTCGACTCTCTGGCGGCAATATCTGGTGCTACACCAGATGCTTCATTCTTCAATGTGCTACAGAAATAATTCTCGTTTACTTATAACTAAAATTTGTAGTCATATGTAGCGCTTCTTTGTGTTAAGGTACTTCACGCCCGCTGGATTCGACTTCGATTTTCTCTTTGGCACCTATTTTACTCTGTTTTGCACGTTGCAAATGTGTATGGAAATAATGTACCGTTGATATTTGAGCTAGGCAAAAGTCGACTCTGTCACGGTGAATATCCGAGTGATAGTAATCAAGTGATCATCTGTTTAGGAAGAACCACCAGCATAAAGGGTAAGAAGAGTATTTATACTAGATTAGGCCCTACATCGGAGCACAATGTCGTTATGGATGTACCACAATAACAAGAGTATACGAGGACACGAAGCTTTTTTTATCTTCTCATCATCTGGAGCATTTATTGTGTTTTTCTATTATCTGGGGCATTTTTTATTTTTCGTGATTATCTGGGGCATTTTTTTTAATTTTGTGATTGAATGGGGCATTTTGTTCCTTTTAAAGTAGTGAAAAAAAATTCTTGTTTCGAGCCGAAGGGAGAAACTATTAGTTGAATGTGCACATAGTGATTTCCGATCTTTCCAAAGACTTCTCTTCGTATCTCTGTCACTAGAAAGCGCTGGTTGTCCCGTACACTTCCTACAAAGTACGATCTAGTGTGTTATCTCTTAACAGGTAAATATGCATTATGGCTGTAACACTGAATTAAGATCGCTCGTGGAGCCACATAAGAAAGTGTTTGTACACGGTCATATTACATTCATTTGAGTTGATGCTAAATATAAGAGATAACAGGATGGGACCTGTTTAAAGTGAAGTTGGTATTATAGCATGAAGTCTAAGGTACACCAAACGTTACTCACAGACACATTAGGTGACAAACTTAATCGCACATAGTGTGACGTGTAAGGTAAACCCGGTCTTATTCAGACACAAAGGAGGCGCTAGACTAAATTGCACTTATCACGGCGTTTATGGAAGTCCTAGCGTTTGTTACAGACTTAAAGACAGACACACAAATAAGTAAGTACTTTTAAAAAGCTCAGCATCCGGCTTGTGCACTGTCACAAATACCTTAAGCCTTCGAAATCGCAATAATTTGCTCTTCAGAACGACGCCTCCTAAACTAGAAAACGTCACAGCGACTCAAAACGTTTTTACTCCGAATGTGCACTATGACAATGCACGTCCACCGATGTGGGACCGCGGTCTCCCCTTGGGATCAGGCCCACAGAGGAGGGTCCGTAGTTATCTTCTTCCAGCACTGATTACCCGGCACGCGGGAAACGATCTCCTTCTTTATTGGTTCTGCGGGCCCCTCTTCTCTGATAGTCCGTCCACTTTAGAACCCTTTTTTTCAGGCAACCATTGCCTGAAGGTGGCCCTTGTTCATTTATCGAAATAGCCGGTTCAACTATTTTTCGAAAGAATTTCACCTCAATTATGTCTATCTACGCAAGAGCTTCACGTTGTTTACACCTTTACAATAGTGTGTTCGCAATCATCCCACTTCTTGACGTTGATCATTTACATTTGCGAGAATGATACTTTGTAATCTGCACATCGAAAAAATGTGCTACAAGCCAAAACATGTTCGTTTTAACAAAAAATGTACTAACGTGAAGCTCTATCAGTTCCTGTAAGAAATTCCCTCTTACAAAGTGCGAGAGACAGAAAGTCGACACCAATTTATGACTGGTCGCAAATCACATTGTCACAAGTAGGGTTTTATGATGCTATTAGTCAGGTTTGACATCCCACCACATCACTTGACATGTTCGTGAGACTCACATCTTCAAATGCAATGATTTCAAACTTTGTAAAACAGCGTGCTGCTAATCTTCAAACACGGATGGAATAAATCGGATTTGCACTGGGTACCAGCGTGAATATCCGCTGCTTAGACGTACAATTATAAACTTAAGAGTCCCCCATCATCTAATAAGTTCCAAGAGTGTTGTCACACTCGGCCTGTATCTTCCTGCTTGTAATTTAGACTTGCGAGTATGATACGTTGCATACTGCACTCTGGACAAAGCATGTCAACGCATACTACTGCTCAATATAATCTGCATCTTGAGATCATGCATCTATAAAGAGGATCTACACAAAATTAAGTGCTGATACATGAAAGCAGGTCTTCATATTGCCCACGCTTCTGCAGTAGTTGCTGGGTTCTAGACTATGGATATAAGACTTGGTTGATCGTTGTTCAGACGATTGCGAAGGACTTCGCTTTGGAAACTTTCACATGGCTACACTAGCGTCATCTCCAATCGGCGCATTTTTCACTTCGATGTGTACCAAGTGCTATATTATAATGGCCTCACCGCGTTAAGCTCCCATACAAAGTAGCTCCTGCGTTGAGAACATCGTTTGTTCCTACCATTCTTAGGATCATGAAATGCTAAATTTCATAACACACGGACGGATTGATTATAAAAGCAGAATTGGAAACTCAAATTTGCTCGCCTAAAACCTTACACGTATAGATCAGCAAAATTAATTACAACTTGATGACTAAACGTTGAAATCTAAAGAAGAAGACTCCCTTTTTGTTTCTAATACCCACAACACGCTGATTCTGGACGTCCACTCGTTAAGTGACGGTTGAATCAGCATAACGCGGGAGATGCCGCTGAGCTTTCATCTTCTACATCTCGAACGATGTCTAGGTAAGCATACGTAGGTCACTACTTGTTTATCGACTGTTCCGCGCATTTTTAGTGATAGTTCGACTTGCTGGCTTATATGATGGCCTATTTTATCCAATGAGCAGAATGCCGTAGACACCTGCTAGAATTTTGTCTTTATCTATGATGTAGATGAATATTACCCTCTGAGAGAATTTTCACAGTTTTAGTCAAACTAATGTCATCGCCATGTCATGAGATCATGCTTTGTGCTTAATGCGTTGAACTAGAGAATAAGCATACCATTACCTCGATATTTCTATCCTTGGTATAACTGAGCACCAATTTTATGCAATGTCACAACATAGTCTGCTTACACTGAACGTACAGTTAGCAAGTGCCTCAAAAGTCAAGTACACGTACATGCAGAGAAAGGTTTTCATACAAGGGAAGGCGTAAAAATAGAAGTGTATTTAGTATGGTTAATATCCTGTTAATGAGTCATACTAAATCTGTTTTTTGACGATAGCTAAATACATTTATGTATTTTAAGTTTCTGGTCGCCACTCATCGCGTTCTCCTGTCACGCCCGGCTTTTATCAATCGATATCATCGTCATATATCAACCAATGAACAGTGTATGACTTCTGCCTCACAATATTACTGGTTAATATATGCTGTAGGAATATGATGTATTTCTAACATAATATTCACCTCCATGTTTACCTGATGTAAGATACCATGCAATGGACTCACCCCGTTTTACTTGGAGTATAGTACCTCTGTGTTCTACAGAACGAGGGACCGTCGGCCTAATTACCCGCGCTATCATATAAAAAGATATTACGTTAAGCATATTGTTGTTCAGGTGAGTGGTGTAGCTGTGCTGAACACCCTGACAGATTAACACTGATTGTCAGCTACAATTTTGGCTGAGCAGTGGAGAATAAATTCGTACGTATCTGGTCAACGTGGTTAAACTAATCAAGCCAATTTGGGTCACACACCCTGCCACAACACTGCCGGCAAAGTTTTTTTTTACTAAAAGAAGGCCGGTTCGAGCCAAAAAGTGAGAGAATGTAATTTGGAATATCACGTCTGCAAGTCGGGTTCGTATCTCATTCACCCCAATTTTGCTATGGCACGACTACATCGTGCCATAGCAAAATTACGGTTAAACAGAAATCGATACGCAATATTCAAGATAAATGCGCTTCATTGTCATAATTTGAATAATATGTAGCGGCCAATGTATCACTCCACTTTTTCTACGCTCAACAGTAAAGCTTACCAAGTTAATAGAAGGAAGCTGTTTGTAGAATCAGAAGAAGGGTCACGCTCAGTGCCGTACGTACTGCACAAATGATACATACGCAAAGATAGGCTCTTTACCTCACATGATGATGAAGGCAGAGAGCTTGGAGGCTATGCAAGTGGAAATCATACTAGCGATTTCTGTGGAGCGCTAAATGTCAATACGAGATCGAGAAAGAAGCCATAGTGATCGCCTATAAATACAAGACATCCAGGTCATTAAACTAGATTAAGTTTCTTATTCACATACCTCATTTCGGATGGCTGTGTTTGCCTAAAAAAACGTTCTCCTTTTCGAAAGGCAATTATTCAAGTGTTGCCGTGGCTGTCGATAATAAAAAAGCTCGTCGTTGTTGTTTTGTCGATCAGAAGGGTTTGCGAAAAGAGAGACGACAGCTGATCTTGCATGTTTACACGACTACAAAACAAAAAGCAACCAACGATTTCCTAAAAGAACGAAGCTTAGTTCTTGCTGGCAGGGAGTCTGAACGACCCTATCGCGTCAGGTGGAAATTTAATCACACGGGCGTTTGTCTGAATAAACTTTATAGTTTCATCACGACATCATCCGCTTTGTCGAGATACGACTGTATCTAGCGCTGCCTGGTCAAGAATAACACCTTTGTAATAGTAGTAAAAGGATGGGTCGCTGTATTCCTGGCGAGCGTTTTTTTGCGTCTCTGTCTTGTCGGCGTCTACTTCATGGGCAATCCTTTGGTCCTGATTTCCTTTACCTTTAACGCTCGCAATGAAGGGAATAATTTACATTCTTAACACCAAAACTTTGTGATGCTATGTGACCAGAAAGGGAGGAATGTCTATGACGTCAAGTTTGCTCCCCAGAAAATGAGTAACTTGACGTCATAGTCATTCCTTGCTTGCGAATCGCAAGCAAGGAATCTCTTTATCACAGGCTGCAATTGAGCTTCTGTCTCACTTTCACGGTAAGCGGCAGTCGCTAGTTGGGCGAGTTGATATCGCGCAGTACACACGGCGTGAACCCCATAACGGCAATTGGAGGCCGCAAAGTAGCAAACGCGTCGCGAACAACCTGTCTACCCCCGTGATCTTGAAAAACGCAAAATAATGATCATGCGCTCGTATGTGGCTCGCAGAAGTGTACTCACACTTTTAGCCTGTTTCTTGTAAAGCAAAAGCATGAGTGGACTACCGCGAAGTAAACCCGCGATACAAAGCTTGAGTTGAGACCAAAAAGCAAAAGTCCATTCTTGGACAGTATCGCCATAAAGCCACGTCGGTAATAACACCACACAAGCTGGATCCCATTCATCACCACGAAAGTCGGTATAAAAAGCTTGGATATTGTATCCCAAAACATCTAGCTCCGCAAGTGTACCCCAACCGTCCATCGAACCGTCTGTCGAACCGTCCGTGGAACCGTCCGTCCGTCTCCTGTCTGCGTTTCCAATCTCGTAATTAAGTACGCTATCCTCATCATCAGCATCCTTCTATCGACCAGTGTATACACTCTTCCCTCCCCCCAACCCACCAACGTATACTTCTCCCCCACGGTTCCGTTTTCTCCCATCCAGGTTTCCAGCAACAGCTCCACTCGCATTACCTGATCCGTCCACCCCACCTCATCCACCTCATCCACCTCATCCACCCCACCCCATCCGTCCCACCGCCTTAGCCATCATGAAGGCGCTCCGGACCGCCGTGTCTGGCTCCCGCGTGCGCTTCACCCAAGACGGGTTCGACCTGGACTTGACGTACATCACGCCCCGACTCATCGCCATGGGGTACCCGGCCTCGGGGGTCGAGAAGACGTACCGGAACGACATCAACCAGGTCGCCAGTCTGCTCAACGCGCGGCACCCGACCGCCTACCGCGTGTACAACCTGAGCGAACGGCAGTACGACTACGCAAAGTTCGACCACCGCGTGAGCGAGTGCGGGTTCCCAGACCACCACCCGCCCCCGCTGCAGCTGTTGCTGGATATCATGAACGACATGATTGAGTGGGTGGCCAAGAGCGACAAGCACGTGGTGGTGGTGCACTGCCTAGCAGGCAAAGGCCGCACGGGCGTCGTGTGCTCGTGCTATTTGCTGCTGACAGGTCACTACGGCAGTGTGTTTAAGCTGCGCAAAGAGCGCGAACTGCGCGAGTTGGCGAACTCGAGCATCCGCGACTTCTGGCAAGCGCGAGGCCAAGGCGTGCGGTTTCCGAGTCAAGCTCTGTACATTTATTACTTTATCAAGGTGCTGAGGCGACAGGGACGTCGACCGGCACAGATCCCTCCTTTGCGACCCGCAAAGAAGATGCTGCTCCAGAGCATTGTGCTCAATGGCGTGCCGGACTTTGAAGCACAGCCACGGGGTGGGTGCACGCCCTTTTTGCAGGTGCTACCAGCGCCATCGCAGCACTATCAACCGCATTTGCTGTACAACAGCTCGTGGCAACACCCAAAGTTTGAAACGTACTTGGCCGACCCGCTGGGGTCGATTATGTTTGAGGTACATAGGGCAGTAGTCGGTGAATAAATGAGTGGGAAGCTGGAGGTTGTGTGCTGACAGGTCTGTTTTTTTGTAGGTGAACATCGAGGTGCAGGGTGATGTACTGGTGCGATGTTTCCACGCCAATATCACGAACATTTTGGGCAAGCACATGGTCAAGATGTTCCATTTCACGTTTCACACCGATTTCTTCCATAATTACGTACGTTTATAAGCTGCAGTAGTGTGGTGTATATCGTTTAGAAAGAAAGGGGTTGTGCGATGATTTAACGACGATGTTGTGCGTATACGATTGCGTGGCGAGTAGAGCAACCAGTATCGACTACCAAAGGCCGAAGTGGATGAGGCTACTAGCAACCAGCGATACCCGGACAACTTTGAGGTGGTTTGCAACGTGGAAGTGCTGGACCCGAATCGAAATTCAAATCTACCGCGATCGTCGATGGTGCGTTCAGGGAGTAGCAATAATCTTTGCGAAGATATACCGGAGCAAGCGAGAGCTGTTTATCCCCAGCCAATGACACAACAGCGCCGAATGACGTTGCCGTGCCACCAGGATATGTGTAACGAGCGACGGTTGCCACCGCAGACTCCTCCGCAACAAGATGATTCAACGCCTAATATGCAAGGCTGGTTGTACAAACAAGGTGGTTTCGTCAAGAACTGGAAGAAACGATGGTTTGTTGCACAGGAGGGGAAATTGATGTACTATCACGGCAATTCGGATGCGACGCCACTAGGAGTCGTGAGTTTGCGGCGCGTAACTGTGCAGACTTGTGCACCTCACGAAGTCAACGCGCGGAACAAGTGTTTGCACTTCTTCAAGATAGTACCTCCAAGTGCCGGTCAGCGCACGTACTTTTTTGGCGCTGAATCCGAGCAGGAATTAGTGACTTGGGTCAACGTAGTCGGAGCTCAATCCGCTTACGGCATTATCTATAGCGCGAAGCCAAGGCGGACTTCAATGCAGCGCAGCATTACGTTTGTCACACGTGCATCGTACGAGCGTGAATACCCGACGCCGAATGATGAAGCAGATTTAAGGTGTCGCCCTAGCACTAACGGCAGCGGGAATGACCATGTGGGCGACACGAGACCATCACTACTGTCCACGATTGCGTCTGCACCCAGAGCTGCCTTTGACACACTTAAGGGTGTCCGCCGATTAGGGCCTCATCACGCCACGGAGCTTCCGCTTCACCCTCCACCTGACGAAGACACTTTTTGGCGTGAGCCGTCGAGAGCTAGACCATCAGGTTACGCTAAGGCCAAGGAACGTGGAAGCACGATGGGTAGATTTTTTGGGGATTTGCGATCATTGTCGTTCTCGGACTATGGCGAGCACGAACAAGATGAGTCGCCATCGCCCTCAGCTGTTACTAAATGCGTGCCTGTTGCACCCGTTGCGGATCTCACGAGTACACTATCGTCACGAGAGCAGGCTTCGCTTCTACAAGAAGTCAATAAGTTTGATACGGGGATTTACGTTTATTCGGCGGATGAGCTGCAGGAAGCCACAAGACTGCAGCATTATATGCACACTACCCGCGGTGCGCCCTCTTTCAGTGATGGCGATCTTGACGGCGATCCGAATTCGGTGGTCTCGGTCGCTTACGCGCTCAAAGCTTCGCCACCGGGCACACTTAGTCGCCAGCTGCATCAATATGTGATGCTGAAGCGCATGGGTGACGCCGAGCAGTTACTCACCGAGCTCGTGCTTACCAAATTTCCTGGTCTCATTGATGCCATGGACCACGATCCCCTGGCGTTCACTCGGCTGATCGCCAGCGGAGACGTATCTCTTGCTGGCTGCGGAATACAAGAGGAGGAGGGTGCAAGTCACTCAGTTGGACACGACTTGAACGGCAACCATCGCGCTGTTTTTCTCTAGACCTACATTTGCCTGTTTGAGGGTGCTTCTTCGGGCGAAAACTTGTTTTACTCAGTAGCTGGATCCGGCAATTTGCTACGCGATCTACGTGTAACAATACTATTTTCGTGAACATGCACGGTTAGATACCCCAAATCGCACTCATCTATAATGCTACGAATACGTTCATACAAGATGACGCGTCAGGACGGAACTCCAGATCATTGGCGAGACCAATACTCGACAAAGTCGTCACAGTGATAACTTCACAACCAGTTTGGCAAGTGTCAGTTGAATGGCGAAGGGGGATGATATCACAGTAGCTGTATCAAAAGCTAGTGAGAGGGCTGGTGATCTACAGATCCGCTTTCATTCAACCTCCTATACATTTGGCTCTTGTGCATTGACGACCTGTACTTTAATCTCCAGGTTTGAAATGTTGTTAGCCCTCTTGCACATACCACAACCTCCTGAGCTCCAAAGCTGCTACACAAACTTGTCGCGTTCACCATCATGCGTAGGGATGTAACGAGCCAAGGACTCTGGAGCCAAATCGGTTTACACGTAGCTGTTCGCTAAACTCAGTCATGAGCACATCCTTCCAGTTCATCAACAGTGCATTCGATCCCAGGTGATCATTTCTGTCTTGAAAGAAACGCTCCTCATGACTCATGTCGATACCACGAGCTGTAGCGTTGCAGCGACACAAAATACAACTGCCACTACGGCTAGTACCAGCAAAAAAACAAGGCGTGTTCGTTCCTTACGACCAGAGCGCCACGGTGCAAGTTGTATGTAACATACCAGCGGAAACAGGTAACACAGCATCAGTAAGATGCTGGCTCCCACAAACGAAAACACCACTTGTAGTCCTGGTACACGCAATGCACAGAGAATCTGCGCACTCAATAGCAGCACAGTTGCACTTGCTTGCACTGGTTGTGACAACGTGTGGGTTTGCCCTTGTTCCTCATCCGACTTTTCCTCACTCTTTGACGCAGTACAGACCGCAATCGTTTCGAGAACCAACGATTGCAGCGGGTGAAACAACAGCGGGAAGGACAGCAGGATTGTCAATAGAATCGCGACACGAGGCACCGCCATAATCTGGTCACTTGAGAGATTCAGCAAGATGTTACCCCGAGTTCGACTTCCGTAGATCTGCGCGGCGCAAACACCAAAAGTCGCGTACAGCAACACACATGCACCCACTGCCAGCGCCAGATAAAGTCGCATCGTTCGTCTCGTGTATCGCAAGATAGGTACAGCTGCAACTGCTTTTGCATCGGCCTTCTCACCACCTGCTTCCTGTCTTCTTGTCATCTCAGTAGTCTCAAGCTGTACAAGCAGCGGAACCACATTCAGGTGCAGCATGAAGGTGAAATTGTAAATCCCCACCACTTCCGCAATGCGCCAGAACAAGGGTGTTTCCCGCTCCAGAGCGGATGCTACTGCATCAACCCGATCAGCTTCAGCTTCCCCACCACCGACAAGAGCGCGGTATGCTACGGCACCAACAAGATAGAGCGAAAATGCTACGCCAAAGTACGACGAATAGCGCAATGTCGAGATGTCGGTCAGACAGCCCAAAGGAAGAACCAAAACGAGCACGACGAGCCAAACTGCGATTACCACCGCGTGCTGCTGCTCGTCCGGTGGTCTCTCATGAAAATCCGCTATTACAGCAGTCAACAATGTCGGTGCCATGTCTTTGACCACACAAATGCAGCCAACACACGCGCCAAACACCGCAAAAGCCGTCAACGTCCCGGTGAAGCGAGCCAGCAATTTGCCGCCAGCTTTCCGTGCCAACTGTTGGTACGTCTCAATCCGCTGCGGCGATGTGTTCGTCGCGGTTTCGATTGCCACCGAGACATGAACGTCTACGAGGATATCCGCTGTATAACCCATAGCAAGTCCCACGCAGCACAGGACGGAGATCGCCTGAAGTGGCGATAGGAGCACAAAAGTGTAGGGTACAGCCAACGTGCCAGCCCCGATAGCGGACATGAGGAGCGTGAATGGCACGGCGCAATTGCGGCCCAACCAGTGGCCAAGGGACAGTAGAGAGACTTTGAGCGATTGAGAGCTTGACGTTCCGAGCTCTTTTGTCTCGACATCGAAACCGTTGGTAGCAACGGGCAAATGCTTGGCATCCAGTGGTTCAGGATGGAGGTTACTGCTTGAACGATGGTCAGGAGACCGAGGGAGCAGGCGCGACGTCTCGTTCGTGACGACCATTTCGTTGACAAGACGAAGGAGATTGGAGGGATGGACGGGGGAGCACTTTGATGAGGGGAGAAGATCCGCTCGTTGTGCGAGGAATGTGGCGTGAGTGAGTGAGTGAGTGAGTGTGCTGGGATTTGTGGACCACGACAACACGTGGTTGCTACGGTGGAGGTTAGCTGCCCGTTGCTAATGGGTTTCGAGGCTGGACTGCATTACGGAGACCTTTTCTGCAGCCACGATCGGAATAGTGAGATCCCAATGATGTGACGCGGGCGAGTTTCATGAGCGTCGATTGACAGGTTAGTGTGTGCAGAAGATTTCCGAACCAGGATGTGAACGCGCGTTGTGGCATGAGACAACGTGGCTCCAGCCTGGTTGTCCCATCGGATCTTTGGATCTATGAGTCAATACAGATGTGAGGTCGAGTTCCACGTACTGCCGTTGCTGCTGTTTGACGTTCGCGTAGTGCGATGGTCTTCAACGAGGACCGAGGTTGTAGTATTCAGAGTCGCTCGATGCTGGAAAAGTTGCTTCTCTTTGGACAACCGCCGCATTTACTTCGCTCGGCCTGCAGATGCACTTGACAAACGAAGCTTGGTATGAACCACGTGCGTCTGATTTCGGTCCCTGTGGCATTGGTGTCATCTTGAAAGCGATTTTATAAACACATGAGAAGAGTCGTCGGGGTATCGATAGACCTTGGCGACTGGTAGTGTGGCTTATGTGCTAGGATACGACCAGGCAAACCCGCGCTCTCGCCCGTTATGTGTCGTGATAAATTGGGTCCAGCACGTTTGTGCGTTTTGGCTTGAGCGCTGCGGTACCTGTGCCCCCCTAGCATTGCAGTGGCTTCCAGCAACTATTGTCATCGGTGCGGTCGGCACGATGTGGGGTTAGCCACTTGTTCGCGCTGCGAAAGCAGGTCGGCTTGATACTTAGTGAGCCCCGATGCAAGATCCCGTACTTGAGGAGGAGAGCGATGTACTGCTGCAGATCACCATTGGCCTTTGGTCGCCGTCACGTCGAAGCAGGATAGCTGAACATGTAGTGCCTGGCGTAGTAGGCTGCGATGGACTGAAAATCTCGCCTCTGGATCGCCTTCTGAATCCTAGCGTTGTCTACAACACACTCCATTGTAAATGCCGGAGGATCGAAAGACCAGTTCGTACTGGACCTTGGTCGTCCAGTAGCTGTACCCGGTCGCGAAGAAGCTCGCCTTGACTCTGGCATATCGCCATGAAGATGCCAATAGAATTTATTAACACTTTTGAGAAGCCGAATATGACATGCCTCGGACGGATGTAAGCCATGGCTTGTCCCAGCAATCAGATTGGCGCGGACCCGATTCTACTCATACGTGTGTCGGAAATGCGACAGGAGACGTGACGCAAGACAAGGCTTGGCTAGTACTCCGTTTCGATTGAAATGGAGGGGGGGCGCGAGCAAGATCGTGACCGGCCAGCTCCTTGATATAGAGGCGGGCGTCTCGGAAGGGGAGGCGACAATGTAGTCCAGCCTGCCTCTTGGGCATGCACGAAATATGCAAATGACGCACTCCTTCACACGAGTCCGAATATCGATGCTCACGACCTTGATTCAATGTCGAATGAGCGTCAATTTCAATCACGAGGTAACAAGCGTGAGCAAAAAGTCAAGCACTATGAGGCATAAGCCGAATCGAAAAGACCTTCAAAGCTCAGTTTTTTATCGGCTGAGACTACCACGCGAAGGACTGACGCATGCGCCGAATGCGCTATTCGGCAAGAGCCTTTAAGCATGCCAAACCTATGCTTCTTGTAGCTGTCGACAAGATATTCTGCGAAATCGTGGCGTCTGTACAAATCCCCAGCGCGCTCCATTCCTGTTCCCAGGAGATCTTCTGACGCTTGTTTGTTCAGGACCCACCGGTCGATTTACGCCTTTTCGGGCCTTCCGCGTGCTCCTCTTTTGTGCGGGATACGCTCATTCAGCATGATCCAGAGCGCCAGCAGTAATCTGTCATGGTGATGTGCCAGTGACAGAAAAGTCGCAGCAAACGGGTCACACTTTGTCGTCAGTTCGAGATGATCAGACACTTGCTTAAATCTGGACTTGTAAACAGAGCTGATTTCGTTTGAGGCACGCTAGAGTAGTCCGGACGTCTAGTGGGTGGAGCCTTCTGGTAGTCGACATGATCCGTGCAAGTACGTCTTGACTCTCGCAAGTCTCGGTCGTGGTTGGCTCCGACGAATGTTTGCGGATGCCATCTATCTTGGCTGTTGACTGACTTGAGTACGTACATTCTTCAGCACGCCACCAACACGTTTGATGGAGAACGCACGTTCTTCTTTATCTTTCCATTGGCGGTCGATTTCTCAGCTCTTTCTTGGCAGTCCTGCACTTGGCTTGGTCTGCACCAGGCACCGGGGCCTCGAGCTTTTCGAGGCCCGAGGACAGTCTAGTAATGATGAGTAGCGCATTGCTGATCAAGAGCACAAAGAGGTAAGAGGGGTCGCATGTCTTGGTTTCAAAGGTGATTCAGACAGGATGCTGAGCAAAGGTAATCAAGAATCAAAGTGAGCAAATTGCACAGTTAATCCGGCAGACCGAGAGAAGCTCGGCTTTGCAGCTGCGCAGACTGCTCATCGTCAGACGAGTCGAGAATCGATGTTTAGAGCACAGGCGAAATTCGTAAGAATTGCGTTGTAGCATCTGCAGTACTTGTATGATGGACGATGTTATGGGTGGAAAGTGAGTGGGAAGATTTGTGATCTGTTGTCGAGTTCGAGTTGTACTAGAGTATTGGCACATCTACGCAGGAGCAGCGAGCAGAGTACTGTACTCTGAATGTCTCTATGATCGTACCAACTTTAAGGGAACAGAGCAACCCTTTAACTTTGAAATATCATCAGATTTCGAGTCCGAAGTGTGTGGAGACGCCCGTGAAAGTTACTTTTCAGCTACCAGGATGCTTTCTCTTCCCTCAATGTGTAATCAAGCTCCTGCGCGTGGTATGTCTATTGCGATTCAACACTCAGATGACGGCCTTCAGCTACAGGACCTACACGTGGTAATGTAGGGCATCTGAAGGCCGGCCAGATGTCGGTATACTAGTACGGCAACCAACTGACTGCTGATCGAGGGCTAGAGCTCATGAAAAGTGACCTTGAAGCAGTCGAGAGCTTAGCCAAACTATTCAGTAGTGTCGAAGAGATAAGACTCGTGGCGGGTCAGCGGCTCCTTGTACAGCGATCAGCGAACGATACTGCCCAAGCTGCCGTAATGCTGAACACTGCAGCAGTCTGTCCCCTCCAGTATTCCAGACGCTTGACTGATAAGAGTCGAGGAGCGTAAGGGGTTGATCTGCATACCGCTGGAAAGAGCTCCGACTAAACAACCGTAGACTTGTAAGCCACTCCGTGGTTCTAAAAAGCCCCGATCGAACCGACAGATCGTTAACGCCAAGACAGGGCTAAGCGCGTTTTCGGATCTGCAAGTAAGGAATGACTAGCACACAATGGTTGCGTCGCTTGGGTTTCATCATCAGTCATGCATGGATCGGACGAATTGCAGTCTCTAAGGGACCTACAACGCCTCGCCTGACGACGGCCGAACTAGTCAGGAAGGCCTATGCTAAAATTAAAGCCAGGAGCGCATCAAGTGCAGAAGCTAGCCATCAACATTTATGATGCCAAGCACCCGAGATTTCTATGGATCCACGTCCAAACGAAGCAACACACAACACACAAGGATTGAATTTTATTACTGGATAAAGAATGAGGCGATTGTACCAACGTATCGAATTGGTATGGCAGTAAGCAGTCGCTGACGCAGCAACGGATGGTCAGCTCAACAACTTGAGAGTTTTACGGCTGGCACAAAACAAGGCATCTAACACGCGGGACTAGCGCTCAGAGAAGCGAACTTCACGCGCGATCAAAAGGCTTCTGCTCTAAAAACTTTGGTCGGTAAAACGATGACCTGAGAGGAATTGGCGGACAAATTTCGGTGGGTTTTGCTGATACATGCCGCAGCTTTTTCGGACTGTGACTCGATAATCGGTCAAACAGAATGGGGTGGCAGCTACAGTCGTGGGACGTCAGCCAATGTTCCGCAACGCTACACTTGTATGCTTCATTTTTGTGAATCGGAACGGGGTGGCCAAAGCTGCGTTGGTTCTGCCAAACGCTGGAGAGGAGGAATGGGAAGTGGCCTTAAAGAGAATAAGCGAATACCAGTACCTCGCTCAGCATGCTATGACGAAATACAGGAAGTACATTTATGAGCAATGTATCAACTGCATCTGGTGTCAAAGTCCTGTTGTCGGCTCTACTTTGTCCTTTTTCGTTTTAAACTCGGGCGGGGCCACCTACTTGGCCGACGCAAGGTCCAGCGTCGAGAAATATCCGATCACCTCCCGGTCAGAGTTCCATGGACATGGTATAGAGAAATTGACGCAGAGATACGAGCGTCCATCGCTTTATGCAGATACTCAGCTGGGCATCGCGACCTCGACTTCGGATCAATCAACTAAGACTGCGACTGACGAGCCATCCAGTAGCGTTTCACAACAACGATCGTATGTTTGCAACTACCGACCGCGAAACCAGTCGACTTGGTTATCGCAAACAAGAAGGCAGAGTCACGTTTCAAGCTGAGACGTGCAACAAGCAGGCAGGGGCGCTTTGGTACCATAAACACACTGCAGCTATACTCAACGTGAATCAAACCAGCGGAGGCAGCGTCAACGTAAACTGCCGCAATCGGTATGACCGGTGGCCACGCGACCGTAACATATGACCGTATCTCTCGCACTTCTCAAGCCGGACTGGCCAGCGTGTCTGCAACATCAACTCGCAATTTCCACATGCAGACTGCAGCGTGGATCAACAGAGCATGGATTGGTCCGGTATGACTTCTTACGACGTCCGTCGTTTCATCACCGGAACAGATCGCGCGAGGCATGATAATCTCACGGACGCTGACACATTCGAGGAATACGCGTTGAAGTCCGACTGGACACAAAGCGGACCTGCCATGCCACAACATCTATATGCAGACCAAGATAGCACCTAGTAGATCCACCCTACATGTCGGTGGATTTATGAACGCGTGCGAGCAGATTAGATGTCAGCTTGGATATAGGTCAGCCCAAACGCAACCGAACCACACGAGATGTTTATAAGACCGCGGCGCACATTTTTCGGTGGCTCAGACGCCCCATCGTGCTTAAGTCAATTGCTACGACTCTGGATTGGCTTGAGCGCGAGTTTGCCTGGTCGTATCCAAACACTAGAGTCACAATGCTAGTTACCATACACCACCTATTCCCCAACGGCATTCTTCATGCGTTGTTTTCTTCAAAAGTGTTTTACCACGATGACATTAGTGCCGCAAGTACATAATCCAACTCGTGTTGTTCGCATAAGCCCATCTGTCACGTGCATCTGAAGGCTGAGCGAAAAATGCAGCATTATCCCAAGTAGAACCATTTTCTTCAGCTCCGAGTATCTCTGAATACTGCGAGATCGATCTTCGTCAACTGAATGTCATCGCAGTGCGCCAACATCGAACTGCTGCAACGGCAATTCGTGGAGCTTGAATCCTCTCCACTACTTCGTTAAGATTCGAGATGAGACCTGGCTTTCACCGATGTCAGCCACGTGCCATACCACAACGTGCGCTCCTATCCTGGCTCAGGGCTTTCAGATATTTCCTGCTTGGGAGGGGACGATTATGAAACTCGTTCTATTCTAGATACGTTAGTAAGAGCGATGCAGAGGGAGATCAAACATTAACCGATAAACGTATGAATGATTGTTTGCAGATACCACTCATAGTTACCACTTGTAGCTACCACTTGTAGCTCCCGAGCCTCACACGCACAAAAAGTTTGGCTCTGTTTTATTGCATCGAAGAAGGAGCTACCACCACTGTTTCGTCTTTACTGACCGCTCACAACTGTACCACCGTCATTTCACCCTTATCGTTACATCTGCACTTTTGCTGACATTTGCCAAGTCATGTACAACGTCTCGCTGCTGCCTACACACTTGCCATAAAGCAGACAAAGACTGCCGTCCTTCAGTCGCTTATCGATCGTCGTTCGCTCACCAGAACGTCCCGCATTTCACTACTCTTGCGTGCACAGTTGATGAGCTTGACTTGATGTCGACATCTCGCAGTGCTTGAGTGATTTGCGCTGCAGCGAGCACCACGTAAGAAGTACCACACCGATTCTCTACTGTCAGGATTCCACCTTTCATACCAGTTACGAGATGCAGTGCCGCACGGCTCAACAGCACCAAGTATTTGTAATAGTGGTAAACGATGCCACCGTCTCTACTGAGATCCGTCCGAGCTGCGTCCGCTTGCACTCGCCTTTATTTCGTCCGAGCCCTAAAACGTGCGGGTTTTGTACTCGCGTCCCTTCCGCTTCCCCCAACGATGCGATAGACCGTCTTAAAAGACCAGAGTAGAAGAGGCTTAGACTGTCTATCCTAGCTACTTATCGGATGTCTGGTTGTGTGGTAACCTCCTCGTTTCATTTACCATGACACAGTCTTACTACTCCTAGCTTTCTCATTCTGCTGGCTCAAGACGTCGAGCGTCACGGTGGGGCGCTCCCAAAAGGGCCCGTGGCAACCGCCCATTGACCAAGTCCGGGGTTCGATTCTTGTGGGCACTCTACCGGATCTCGGGGCGTTGGGAGCAATTTGATTCAGGGGACAGAGGATGCTTGACTAGGAGTCCTGTTACCTTTGCGGTAGTCCGAGCGAGCCATCTTGACGTAATCCCTGGCTATCACCTCGTAGTCGACTTCTTGCTCTTCAGGTCGGCTCGGGCTCACAACGTGCCCAGACGCACCACTGGCCGAAGAGTATCTGGCTTGGTGCTACTGTACACAAACAACCGGTACTGGATCTCAACGGGGGTTGTCACGGTCTTGAGAAAGTTCTCTTCGTGAGACCGGGCTCGTGCTCAGCGATCATGTCGGCAGACAGCGCAGAGTAGGAACTTCTTCGTTTTGCAGGGTGATACGATCCATCGTCGACGTGCCCTGCTCTTGGCTATCCTGCAGACCGTTTCTCTCTCTCGAGTCACACACTGCGCTGCCTCACTATGAGAAACTTCCCATCCAAGGCAAGGGAGCTAGTGTCCTGGCTTTCTGGAGAGTCTTGACTCCGTCCGTTGTTGCAGCTGACTGCCGATTGGGAAGTGGCATCTCTCAGAGAGTAGTGGTACTCTCGCCAACTTCATCTCAGCTCAGTTCAGTTTCAGACGGATAGATGTCGACCGCTCGAGATCGGGAGAGACTAAACATTGGTATTACTACTACCACTGTCCATTCGCAACAGGTGCAAGTCCCTAGTATTGGGAAACGAGCGTGACAGCGGCTCTTGGGAAGATTCTTGAGCAATTTCTGACTAACGAACCCCACGATTCATCTCCGACTTCTCATTCTCTCTTTGGTGCGCTGTAGAAATTGCTGCAATGAAGTTTCAAGACCGAGGGCACTCGAGTCCGCTCTTGAAGATCGCGTCATCGTCTCGTGGTCTCAGTACCCTCATGTGGCTCTTGGCCTGTACCTGCTGCTTCGCGCTTGGACTCATTGTGTCCTACACGAACACCTCGTCACTCTCTTTGATCCCTTTTAAGGTCCTGGAGACGTCCCGTTGGCTCCGCACTAGACCATCGACGTGGCAAAGTCTGTCGCACGCTTCGTCTGCCACAACCTTGTCCATCAGCCACGACGAGTACGCGCGGGGTATTATCCTGTGTCTGCACAATGGCATTGTGGCCATGGGCGTGTCGCTTATCCGAGAGCTGCGTTGTTTGGGCAACTTGGAGCTCATTCAAGTGTATCACTGCCTTCCTACCGAAATGTCGGACGAGAGTCGAGCGCTGCTTACGCGCAATGACGCGCGCGTGAAGATTATAGACGTGTGCACGGATATTCTGGCGAAAACAGGCGCCGAGAATTTATTTGGAGGCAAAGTGGAGAAGGCGAAGAAGTTCAAGAACTATTGGGTCAAACCACTGGCATTGTACCATACCAAGTTGCGAGAAGTGATTTAGCTGGACGCAGACGCCGTGCTATTGCGGGATCCAGCTGTATTGAGGACGATGTCGGGATACGTGCGTACTGGCACGACGTTCTTTCATGATCGCATTGCCGACGCGAATCGGTTTTTGAACGGGAGAGTTAAAGGTGCGAATTCTACTGTGAAGGTTTTGGTGAACGCTTTTCCGTACAAAGAGTTTGGACTGAGCGGACCAAAGCCATCAGAGAACCTGAATATGACATTTGCATGGCGAGGGTTAAGTGCACACGAGATGGACTCGTCCATGGTGCTAATTGATAAGACGCGAGCGGGCAAGGCACTGGAAGTCCTGAAGCAGCTTATCTTGAAGATGCGGTTCCACTTACAGTTTTCGTGGGGAGATAAAGAATCGTTCTGGCTGGCTTACGAGCTGGCACATCAGGAATACTTTTTTTCGCCGTGGGGACTGAGTTTGTTGGAGTCTGTGCCGAATAACGACCTTGCGCACCCGAAGACCATGTGTGGCAGTATGGCTCATTTCTTACCGACTGAAAACGATACCACAGCATCAGAACTGCTTTATGTAAACGGTAAGGCGCTGTTGGACCCATTCCCGTCCGGAGTGAAGAACACGCTGAAGGGCAGGCGGTCGCGGATGTTCAATATCAATCCGACGCTTCTCACGCCACGGTATCGTCATAATGACTTCGACGTTGCTACTATCAATTCATTCGAGTGCATGGACAACTTGGGATCTGTCCCGCTGCCTCACTACTTTTTCAGCAACCTGCTACGTCGCCGATTTCATTACTTTGCAGCGAAGACGAACACATACGAAGCACTGGACCATTGTTTGGACGAATCGAAGTTAGCTGCTAGTTCGAATGAGTAGATAAATATGCTGCTAGCCGTGTGGGTTATCGAGTTCAGCGCCATGTGCCAGGTTTTCACATCCGTGCGGTCGCTAAAAGCTTGGTCTGTGAAATAGTAGAGCTTGCGTTTTCTTACCGCAAGCTCTCCACACATTATTGTCAGGTTTTTGAGCTGTTCCAATAACTTGCCAGCATGAAGTTACTTCGTGTAGAACTTGCATTGATTGAACATGCAGCACTGCTGCGAAAATGTACTGGAAGTTAGTGTGTACTTGTCTGTGTCGATGCAGCTGCTATTTGGCTGTTCAAAAAGGCGACTGTTCTAGATATCATTGATTGTACACTTGTATGGCATCAGGTGCTGCAAGTTTGAGCGTGGATAGCATACGTCGGGTATGCTCGTGGCAGCAACTACTTTGTCGAGAAACTGCAGGTGAAAAACGATTCCGCCATGCGTGCAAGACGCTGGTTCGCCACGGCTTCAATGCAAAAGTGCCAGCAAACACTCGAAGCAATACACATGACCAGAACAACAGCAGTCGCACTGATTCATGGTTATTTGTTTCATTTGATACCGCTCCATCTACCACGTCATCAAGGCAAACACAGTGGCCACATTACTCACATGCAATTGCAGGGCGGTAGTTGTTCTGCCAGAGACGGCGACGCGCGTAGCACAAAGTCGACGGTGCAGACGCCCAGGGACCTGTATAGGTAGTGGCATAGACCCATCCATGGTCATCGCCTTTCTTGGTCGAATACGTCCACCCAGCACCTTCAAGGCCTTCGGGTACTTTTGGTGCCACATGGTCAAAGTTATCAGACGAGATCTGGAGATCAAGTGTGCTCCACTGACGACGTTCGTTGTTATGCGAAGGTATCCATTGTCCATCCACATAGTCCTCGTTCTCCCATACACACAATGTCTTCTGTCCATCCATCTCTTGTGCGAAACAGATGTCCAGTTGGATGCTCGTCTTCTTGTCCACCAGCTGGGACGTCGACGCTTGCTTTAGAGCGTCTGGCACCTGCAATTCGTACGTCTCAACGACCGCTTCATTAGGGCGTTGGTCAAAGAGTGACAACGGGAGACGCACTTCCCCCAATAGATCGTCCGTCTTGAACCGATCGTTGTCCACCACTTGAATCACCAAGTGCCGTTCGGAGCTGCTCTGCGACGTGTGCAGCACCTCAAACTCAAATGTCTCGGCTGGCTGCCACACGGGGTCCAATGTCCCGCTCACACACGAAGAGCGCAAGTACTCGTCGTCCAGCTGGAAGGTCACGAAGGGGTCACTAGCACTGCCTTGGATGTACGTGTCGCCAATGGGCAAGTTACTGGCGCGTAAGAGCGTCACAAGGAGTTGAGGCATCGGAACTTCTGATTTTTCCAATTAAAGATACTTTCGCTATTAGAACGATGCGTATTCTGCTTCGCTACGTGGGACGCGTCGATGACAGACGTGGCTTAATTGTGATTATTTGTATCGATATTACCTTTGACGGGAATATGGAGTTCTAAAGAGCTCGCCAGACGATGGGGGCACAGTACTGCGCACGACAAGGTGAAAAGTGGGATGTTTAGAGTGAAATAGCTTCGATTCGAGCTTGGGCGCTCCAGTATCTATTATTCGCCTTATGACTCGCATAGGTTACCTGTAGTTTCTACAGTTGTCAATAAAGTCGGTGGCTTTACACTCTCGTGCTTGTTGAGGTCGTGCGGAACTCCAGTCTTTCGTGAAGTTGGGGTGCTGGAAGTCGGATTCCTTTGACCATCGACCAATTGTGCAGTAGACACTGGTCCCGTGCTTCCATTCTTTCCGACATCTCCTTTACTGCTCTGAACAACGTTCGGGTCACCGCTGTTTCCAATGTTGCGACGGACGTCATCAACGTTGCCACCGTTGATCGTGACGTGCAGGTCAATTTGACCTCCAGCTGACGAGCGCGGCACCCACATAAGCAACGAACCTCCGCGAGAGCTTGGCACACGAAACGGTCCCGGTCGCCAGCGGTCAAGGTACAGCGTTTGATCTTGGAGCACTGACATAGTCGAGTTCCATGACACAGTCGCGCCACTCGCCACCTTCACTTTCGCTACTGTATCACCGCCAGAGTGCATCACGACCGTCACGTCTTTGGAGTCGAGACTGTACAAGACGATGTTTACCGTGCCATCTCCGGACTTGCTCCATGTGCCATGACTTCCATTAAACGCCTGGCCTTCCGTTGTGAGAGCTAGTGCGTCCGTCAGGGAGCCGTCATCGATCTCGCCGATGAAAACGGTGGGAGCACAGATTGGTTGAAGAAACGTGTCGACCATCGCAGCTAAACCAGTTGGATCGAGCACAGCAATGACGTCCATGCCCATGCCAGCCACAGCCGTGAGGTAGTCTGTACTTGACAGTGTCTTTCCATTGCCATCCACCGCGCTGTCAACAAGGCCGTCGACGATAGTGCTCATCACGGATCGTAGATTATCACGAGTGCGATAGACATCGTCTGTGAGGTTATGGGAGCAACTATCGATGGCATCAGGCACACCCGTGAGAAAGAGATCCGAAACACTCAATGCCTGGCGGATCTTACTAACAGCAACAGCGGGGTCTTTCTGTTTCATAGCAACCACGAACTGAGTCACCTTGTGAATCAACGCTTGAAGCTGTGTCCCGCAAGTTGTGCCGGCACTGAGGATATCCTGCAGTTGTACTTGACTGTTGGCGTCGAGACCTTGGACCGACTTATCGATGCCTAAGTCGTTCATGAGTGCCAAGAACGAGCCGGGATTCAGTATGGACGCCCCATTACCAACTATCGCTGTGACGATATAATTGACGGCTGTAGCTATGACAGGCGTGTCGGGCGACACTGGCAGATCCAGACATGTGCTGACTGCAGCGGGTAGTTCGCTGGTGACAATGTCCGACTGATTCACTGCACTCATCAGGTGCTGGCCCAGGGTTGCATTGGCCTGCACTTCTTCAATGTAACTCATTAGAGCACTCGTAGCAGAGTAGAGTTGCTGACCGCATTTGACACCAAGCTGGAGAGCCTCACTCGCTTTGCGTATCTTGCCAAACATACCCGCGGTTGCAGTGTTAAGTGCCACGGTCGCCACAGAAAAGACCTTGTCAAGGATCTGCGAAGTGCAGTCGGAGGTCTGCGGAATACATTCCATCCCACATTCCACCGGAAAGTCCAGTGGACACTGTGCCCAACACGTTGCAATGCCATCCGACTTGTAGCCTTTGGCGCATGAATCCGATGATAGAAACGCCTTGCGATAGCAGGCGGAGGCCGATGTGTTGACGGGACTCACCCAGTTTGAAAAATTGGAGGCGCTTCCAGACGACGCCAATGTGGTTGCAATGACAATGACACCTAGGTACGTCGCTATGCTTTTCTGCATGTCAGCACTATAGCTTCGCAGTTACAAGAAATGAAGAATGCGTTGTTCTTGCCTCCAGCGACTTGTTGTGCAGGTGGTCGAGCTGTCGTCGCATTGCGGGTCGATGCAACGACAGCTCGACCACCTGCTCAGCGAATCGATGACATGCGTTTTGAAAGATAAAGTAAACCTGCAATCCCACGAACGAAATGTGGCAACTAGCCTTGCATGAATGGAATGGCCTCACAAGTACGCCCTTGCTGCGTAAGAAGTAAGAGAATTAGAACAGGTGTTGACGTTCAGGGGGTAAACATGACTCCTATGATGTTCCCTGCATGGTTTGAGTTCTTGCAGAGCGTAAGAGAGAGCTTAATTTTGTCGACTGGTATGCACTTATGTTGGTGTTGACCGACCTACCAGCAGCTAGGCAGAAATGGCTGTTTAGGTACCTCAACCGCTGATCACTGAGCTGTTGAGACAGCAAACAGCTCCAGCAAAAGCCCAGTTTTGACGTTCTTCTGGAGCGGCTGTAAGCGTCGAGCCGTTGTCGATACGATTCCGGGTGTATGGTATTGGATAGAGATGACCTAGAGCTCTGAGAAGAAAAGACTGCGCTGCTCCGTATATCGCCGTAGCATTTGGTGTTATTAAGCAGACATGCACAATTGCGCAATCATGTTGGATTGTAAACGATTGATTGATCAGCTTTCATTCAAAATGAATGCCTGACGTGACGATGCAGTTAGCGTCGTTTGACAAAAGACACAGCTTGTTCAGTACAAAGCGGTACCGAATGTGTCTGCGCCTGAGTCTTGGTTGTACTGGATTGCCGCCCAAATCTATTTGTAAGAGTTCACAAACACCGTCTGTGAACCCTTCATTCATACTATTTGTGAAACCTAAGTGTGGGGGTTTCAGCCACCACAACCTAGGCAACGATCAATACAGGGACTGACTATGTGATGGGGTGAGGATATTTTTATGTAATTAAATTGTAATACTTGTCAGCTACAACATTATCATAATGTTGATAATGTTCGTGAATATTACAATAAGGAGCAATATTCAGAAACACTCACCGATTGGCTGATGTGGACCTTTAAATCAGCCAGCTCTAGCGGTCTGATTAACATTTTTCTACACAAATATAATTAAGTTAGGACTCAAACGTAGGTTAATGATCAGGACTTAATTATACATCATACAGTTTTACATTTACCAGCAACTAGTCATTTTTAGTCGCTTTCCCTTCCTCTGCCGAGTTTACAGAGGTAGCGAGGCATAACTCACGCTGCTTTTGGTGACAATGGCTTCGCACTAGTTGTCCAGTGTGTTGCTCCGGTGCCCCGTCACACCTGGTAGCACTCGGTTGTTCGATTAAGGACCACAAAACCCATTCAACATGAACATGTTAGATTACGAGGGCGATGACACTTTTACGGCACCCGTGAAAGTTAATCCTGTTTAGGTGATGTCGAATGAAGTGCGAACGAACGAATGAGATCAATTGTTCGGCGAAGAGGCTGTATGGTATCTACGATATTTAAGGGATAGGAACCAGCAGCATTCCGTAATCGCCAAGTTCTTGCAACGAGAACTTGACGCGTCGCAAGCTGAAGTGACCCTGCTGCACCAGCAAATTCACCAGTAGACTGAGCTCCTGAGAAAGCCACAGTATCAGTCTGCTTCTACATTGTCGACAAGTGAGCATCGATGCGAGACTTTGAAGCTAGAAGTCTCCAAGTTTTGGGAAGTCGAGAAAGGCCCTCTGCGAAGATGCTTCTACGAAGTGGACGATGTCATTGAGGCTTGCCACATCAACGATGAGGGAATGCAAGTTGCGTATTCCAAATCAAATTTGTCACAGCGTGCCGGATTTTTTACCCTGAATCTTTATTACACGATTTAAACGTATTTGGATCATTGGCGGTCCTGAAGACTCTGCTCAGACAAACTATGGAACCACCAAGGCCTTAGTTCAGGGCTAGATCAGAGCTCCTGAAACTCAAGCAGGGTAAGTGTGATGAAACGCTTACGCCCAATACATACGACTCTTTTGGAGTTGTATCACGATTAACCCCGTTCATGAACACACATTGATCACTGTATTCGTGCAAGGTCTTTCAATTGGTCTTGTCAAGACTTACCTATACCACTTGAAACTGGATACGCTAGAAGAAGCGATTTCAGATGCAATGCAAGAGGACTCAAGTGTGAGACAGGCTCATTCTATCGTGGCCCCCTGTCTCCTTCAAGACGAGTAGAGGCTGGAGGCTCAGACCCAATGAGCTTCTGCATTGTTGATGGCGAGAGACCTCGCTCTTCAGCCAATAAGTGATAGCGGAAGTGCAATCGCTTTCGGAAGTTAAGCGCTAAGCCTACGAGTGTAGAGCTACGCGCCCAGTATATCAAAACACTGAGCGAACTATAAATAATTTGCCAAGAAGGGCAACCGACACGGGTCTAACGTTGTTGCAAGATCGCAAAAGCGTGGCGGACTGTCAAAAACAGTCGGGGTCAGTAGGGCGCTCTGCCCCTACTGATCCAGCAACTTTAAAAGAATTTGCAAAACTCTTGGTGAAAGTTGCTCCCAAACTTACATTCACTATGAATCTCTGCACTTGGTGATGAGGTACCCCTCATCACCTTGAGCTTGGAAGTGACAAACAAATCGTCATTTCGTGCCTTAGTTAACTGTGGAGCGTCGAACAACTTTTTTCGTCTCCAGTCGCCAGAGGATCGTAGGCTTAAGCTCGTTGAGCGCGATTTTCCTCCTACGAGGATGACGGTGCTCCTTGCAAAGGGGCATCGATAGCAGTGATGAAACATGTAGTTGGATTTTACTATACGTTAGAATAATTGCAGTTCGATGACGATTTCATCGTACTTGATTTTGCCAAAAAATGTCATCCTTGGTCCAGAAATTACGAGCCAAGGGTCAGCTGGCAGCATTGAACCGTGAAGATGCCTTCCACTTGTTCATTAGATGGCCATATGATGAACATCTTGAACCTTCCACAAGCTTGTGGATGTACTGCAAGTGAGTGCGATGGCCTCACTTGCGGTAAGGCCGTTAGTGCGGCTGCAAACGATCACAGAGTGACAACCAGTCACATTGTGGAGGAAGCTGCTGGTGACTGTACGGATGCACAGGCAGCGCTGGAGGTCCACTCGAACAAGTCGAGCGGATTGGGACATGTGCGTACGCCTAGCGGGTGACATTCAAGTAAGCACAAACCAGTTGTCCACATATGACAACATGATGATCCTAGATTAGATGGAGAGTCGATCGTAGCGGACCTAGCTGTGGTAGCGCAATTACAGCGAGAAGACATCGAGGGAATAAGTTCCCATGTACTTAAGGAAGAAACTCCTCAACAAGTTGGTGATGATATAAAGATAACCCATCAAACTGAAGGAATAATTCCCCAGCAGCATGTGGAAAAGGGTTTTCAGGAAGAAACCAAAATATTGAATGTCTTGTTTAATAGAAGGTTCAAGTGTAGCCGATTATACACTTGATCTGATCGCGTCTTAGAAGTTGACTTTGGGATCACTCGTCTGCCAAAGCTAGAGCCAAAACAGTTCTTGTGAGATTTGCGTAGTGGTAAGGTCAAGCATATCTGTGCACTCGTCGCGGAGGACGAGTACGTGACCGACATTTGGTCGCCAGTAGTATTCCACGAGAACGAAAGGGATCCAAGCAGCTCATCAATGGACGAAAGTTTCCTCAATGAGAGAAATTGGACCAATTGATTCACGTCTAAATCTTGGAATTTGCTTCAGGCAAATCACTTATTTAAGGATGTGGTTAAATTCAAGGACGTGTTCTCTGAAAACTTATCATGCGAATTGCCTAAGGGTAAAGACAATCGACATAAAATTGAGCTCAGACCGGGCTCGAAGTACTGTGTCATGAAGCAGTGGCCACTGCCTCGTGAGTAAGTACTTGCTATCGACAAGCTCTTTGCCGATCGCTTCGTTGCGGGTCATGTGTGATATAGTCAACTTCCCTCACAGATCTCCGACCTTCTGTGTACGAAATGCCACAGGAGGATGGAGGATAGTGCATGCATTCAACGGGCTGAATGCTGCAACGGTATCGGATATTAGATACCGATACCAAGGAAGGAAATAATCATTGATGGTTTGTCAAAGAGTACCATCTTTTCGCCCATGGATCTGATGGATGGATTCTATTAACACGAATGCGTGAACGGGACATCCTGTACACGGCAGTAAGAACCCCGAGCGTATTCTCTGGGAGTGGCTAGTAATATCACAAGGGACTAGCAACTCCCCTAACACATAAGATGTGTTAAAAATCTTTTGAGAACGCTCCAAGATTTTGCACCAAGTTAATTCGATGATGTATTCGTCCATAGCCGGGCTATGGGCGGAAAGAGGGACTTAAAGGTTCACAGAACACACGTTCGTCAGGCGCTTGCACTTTTGCGCAAGCATAAGCTGTATGCAAACCTCAAGAAGTATATATTCGCTGCTAGCAAATTATTACCACTTGGGTGCATTGTACGTAAGCACGGCGTACGCTCTGATCCGGAAAAGATCAAGGTGATTACTGACTGGCCTGTGAAAGTCGACGTTAAGTGAGTTAGAAAGTTCCTTGGTCTAGACGCGTACTTAAACAAGTACTCGCGCAACTACGCCGAGAGCACTGTATATCTCTCTATTCTTTTGAAAAAAGCGAGAAGTGGTCATGGAACGCTGATTTCCATTGTTCCTTTAAGGTACCAAGCAGAGCTTGATGCAATCACCCATCTTGGAGATCGCATACCAAGACAGACCAATCCATGTAGTTTTTGACGATTGAAACTTCGTAATTGTCTGCGAGCTATATGATGCAGACGGTGCAGAGCGCATCGTCTATTATAAATCGCGTCAGCTGCAAGCAGATGAGCATAATTACCCAGTGCGTGACAAGGAAATCCTTGCCATAAAGATGAACTGGAATTTTTTGCTTCTACCTCCTTCAAAGTAGGCCGTTTGTAGTCTAAACGGAGCATGCGTCATTACACGCGGTTGTGCACAGCCCGCACCTCTCGCAAAGGATGGCGATATTGATGTCCTTGTTTGAGGATGACAACTTACTTGTGGAGTACAAAACCGAACGACTTAGCGTCTTCACGGAAGTACTGTCGCGCCGACTCAATTTTGAGTCGACTGCGCAGTCTAACAGTGGCGTTGATACCACTGTTGCAGCACTATTCACTAGTTTTCCGTCGTCAAAATTGCTTGATGACATGATAAAGGTCTACGCAGAAGATAGGGCTCTTCTGCGACTAATGGAATATCTGGTGACTTCATCTCGTAAATCTCTCAAAGATTCACCGTCCTTGTATCGATCTTCCGAGGATTGATATAAAAACCCAAAAGGTTGCTGTATTATACAGCCGTTGCCGGCTACACACCTCGTGTCGTCGTCCCCACTCATAATAATTTGCGCTTGCGCATCTTGTATGAGTGCCATAATTCACCATCTAGTGGGCATCATGGGCGTGAGAAGACTTATCTAACGGTAATTTACGACTTATACTGGCCTCGCCAGTATCAGTTTGTGCACAAGTACGAATGTAATTGTGAAGTGTGCCAAAGGATGAAGAAAAGTCGTCCATTCCGTGCGCCACTACAGCCTCTGCCAATCCCGGCAGAGTGCTGGCAGTCCATTTCGATGGACTTAGCGATTGGCTTCCCCGAAGACGCTCACAAAAATGATGGTATTCTTGTGTTTGCAGACCATTTCTGCAAGATGGTTCATCTTACTGCAGTTAAAGAGTCAATTTCAGAACATGGTTGTGACCGTGTCTTCATTGACACGGCATTCTGACTCCAAGTTCTGACCCGTGAACTAGTCTCGGATGAAGATCCTCGATTCAATGCGGCAATTTATTAATTCGTGTTCCAGTCCTTCGGAACACGTCTAATGATGTCAATATCTGATCATTCCGGGACAGATGGTAAGAAAGAACGTTTCCACCGCGTTCTCAAAAAGATACTCCGAGGATACTTCCGACCTTTCACAGTTTGAAACGAATTTGTGCCGATGGTGGAGTTTGCAATCAAAAACTCCGTGCACGCGTCAACAACGCATACGTTAGTTTTCGCGAGCTGCCGTTCTAGCTCTTGCTCATTAAGTGTCTAGGTACTCGACGACTCGGACGTTGCTGATGTCTATCTAATCGACATCGAAGACGACAACCTCAGAAATAGTGACGACACTATTGCTAACCCAGATGATGATGACGATGCTTGTATATTTAGCATCGCCAACGACTACATTAGCAAGGATGAGAACACCCTCGCTGAAAAATTTGAAGACTTTTTAGTGGTGCGCACAAGGTGCACTGCAACAAATCAAAGTGATCTAGAAGAAGATTTCCTGCTGGCACGAGAAGCTGTGGTCCGTTTCGTGCAAGACTCCATCGCTAACGAAGTGGAACGGCAGAAACGGAATGCTGACAAACCTGGGAGAGCAAACGTTCTCCTATTTAATGCTGGAGACTTATGTCTACTGTCTACGGTAAATCTACCTAATCACGTAGTAACTAATGTGGGTAGTAGTAAACTCCTACCCAAGTACATCGAATCGTTTCGTGTACTATGCCATAAAGGCAATTTGTATATGATCGATTTTTTCCCCGCAGGATGCGCACACATCCTGCTTTTTTATGTTGGTCGTCTTCGTCCATACCACCAGAACGAGTTCTCTTTCTCGGGCGAATACATCCGCCACGCTCAAGATCCTCCATGAGATTCTTTTGTTACCGAGCCAGTTTATCAATCTGGCTCTGTACGTCGTATGCTGGCGACGAATTTTAGCCACTTCGTCGCGAAAGACTTGACGCTTCCGGTAGATCTCCGATTGGTAGAACGGGAACTCCGATCGTTCGTCTGATAGATGAAGTCGGATGTGTTCAATCCACGCCTCCAAAAAATAGGGACGCTCCTGTCTCTCTTGTTCGATGCGATCACACATATCGTGTAAGTCTTGCTAGAGACGACCAACCTCCACCTGTAACTCCTACGAACGATTCGAAGTTGATCTTATTGCCCCATCACAGACATTGGTGGACTCACACGTTGAGCAACGCTTTCATTCGAATCGTCTTTTGAACCACCGCAACGTCAACGGGCAGCTAACGATTCATCTTGTTCGCCGGCGCGGCTATCCGCCGTCACACGACAGCTGGACGCGAGGCGCCCAGCCGATGATAGGCGTTGAGGTTCTCGTCCACCGGTACAATGAGAAACATCCGATGGATCAGAAGGGCTATCAGAAACAAGCACACAGGGTGCTGGTAGACCGATAGCAGACTAGCAATCGCATCGCGCACCTCAGAAGGTATGTGTGCCCCACCCCAGGGCGAAGAAAAGGATTACACCTCCTTTTGGATGCGTTTATTGTTGTCAAAACAACACGGACATGGGTATCCCCACGTGGTGCATTGAATTACTTCCTCATGAAACAGATAGTGCAATCTGTATTTTGTAACAGTCAAGGTTCGCTCCTCAAACATGACACGATCTGCGTCAAATTTTCGTAGACAGGCATTACGCCCAATGTGCTGCACATTGAGTATAGAGGCGTTACACGCGTGCAGCAACGAGATTTTGTATCGCTTAGTGTTGCCACTATACCAACGATGCGTCAGAAAAGCATCCAGATAGAAGTCCTCTTAAGTGCAAAAGTGACCAGAGCTGATGTCGAGACTTTGCAACAGCCTCGCATCGAATAACGGAATTCGATGATAAAGACTTGTCTCGCATGACACATCATTAACAAGCCTTTCTGTCAGTACTCAAGGCTTGTGGTCAGGGGCTAGACAGCATATTGTCGTCTACAGCCTCCTGCGTGGTAGCAACAGAAGTCTTGGTACCACTAGAAACGTCATCACGATGATGCAAGTCATCACCGCATTCGCTGGAAAGCAGATGCGTAGTAGCAGGCGCGGGGGATGAGTCAGCATGCTCATCCTCCGACCTAATCATACTCTCGTAGTGACTATGAGTCTGAATACCCGCTCGAGTTCTATTCGTAGGCTCGTATTCGGCCGCCCCTATAGATTGGGAGACCTAAGTATCTTCTTCGAGTTGGAACCACCTTCCGACTCTCCCGAATAAATGAGCTCAACTTGGAAGCCATCATCATTAGCACGTGGTGAGTCACCACGTGCATCTGCAGAAACTGATGCTGCAGGAAGAGATGCAGCGGCAGCAGAAAAAGCATCGTCTGCCACGAGAGACGCAGCGGCAGAAGAAGAAGCATCTTCTGGATGGGCGTCGTCAAGATCAGCTGCGTTGACACGCGCAGCTGCCTTCTCAGCATGATTTCGACGCGCATCGCATGGGTTTGTTCACCATGTGATGAAGGTCCCAGAAATTAATGGATCGGACCGAAACAAGTGCTCCCTGTCCCTGATGCGGTCTAACGGTGACCATATCAACATGATAGTGATTGAGTGACTATCGTTTAAGGGGGGATGATGTAACGGAGTGAGCCTGTTACATGTAACTAACCTGTGATACTTGTGAATTGGAATATTACCATAGCTGTTGATAATGCTCGTGAATATTACCATAAGGAGCAATATTCAGAAACACTCACCGATTGGCTGACATGGGCCCTCATATCAGCCAGATCTAGCATTCTGATCAACAATGGTGCGCGCAATGAGTGGTGAGCAAGACTTTAGCATGCAATTTTGTAGACAAATATAATTAAGCTAGGACTCAAACATAGGTTTATTATCAGGACTTAATTGTACTAATACATTTTTACATTTACCAGCAATTATTCAGTTTTCAGTTGCGTTCCCTTCCTCTGCCGAGTTAACAAAGGTAGCGAGGCATAACTCACGCTGCTTTTGGTGATAGTAGCTCCACACCGGTTGTCCGGTGTGTTGATCCGGTACCCCGTTACAGATTAGGTAGACACCTCCTACTTACTGGGGGACACCCTTCGATGAAACAAGATAGGAGGCAAGCTCTGGAGTTTGCCATTTGATATAAGCGATCTAGTTCGTAGAATAGAATCAAGTTGCGAACAACATACAGCAGCAATAGCTGTAGAATGAGTATAATAATATTTAAACCTAGTACAGTCTATCGGGCGACAAGCTTCCATCATTTACTTCTGTGATCATATCCACGTTTGATCAATTTTGATCCATCGCGTGCGTGTGCCGCAATATCGACCTAGCCAAATAGTGATCAGAATGTGCCTATGTACCTATGACAAGGGGACATGCTTCATCGCACTTAGTACGTGCAAGGTACACCTAGCCGCGTTATTTACACACACAGGCACACACATTTGCACGATTTGAAAATGGTCGGCATTCAGATTGCTCTCATTCACTAGCATCTTGATTTTTCGAGAATGAAAATTAATTAAATATATTGCCCAATTCTGACGTAAGTTACGTTTTGATCGCTTGTATCAGTCGTATTATAGTGACACACACAACTAAAGGTGCATGTCCCTGAACATCAATAGGCAAGAGAAAAAGGTGGCTGAATATGGCTAGATGATAAGGCAATATCACAAGCCCTAAACCCTTTTCGAGAGTTACAAACTTTTTAATCTGTATTTTAATGATTTGATCCACATTACAGTAGTGTAACGGTATCTCACGGACTTTTCGCTTAAAGGGATATGTCCTTCATGTGGTATGAATTTCAAAGTTTTATCTGTGGTAATTGACGCACTTGATGACCTTAAATATCCTTTAAGGATAGATTGACGTGCCATCCATCAATTTTTTAAAGACTGAATGTTGCTTTGCGAATTATTATAACATTAGCATATGGAAGTTGAATAAAAATTTTATTACAGGTAAAACAAAGAAGTGAACATTCAGTTACCCTCAAACCATATCTTAACTCGTGTCTATTTTGGACGTCAGTAGATCGTTACGAGTCAAAGGCGGATTGAAGCGTCTACTCGAAAGAACATTGTGCTAACTCTTTATTAGGCGTCGTAAGTCCCCTGAACCAGGAAAAGAATCTTCACAAGCCTAAATAATCTCCGAGTCCTTGTTATTTAGTTCTAGGAACTGATAACTCATTAAGTTGATACAAGATTAGTTCCGCAAAATTAAGTGTCGTAGGTATTTTTCTGACTAAGAGCTGTGTAGCTCTACCACAAATAGCGTGGGTCATACCGCGCAAATGCTTGATTTACCGCCCCCAGACGCCTTCTATAAGTAAGAGTAGAATGCAGAGAACAATACTAAACATCAATCACCTTCGCTTTTCTCCGTGCCTGGTGACACAAAAACGGCCGTACCAATTCAATAACTCTGGAAAACCTACATCAGCATGAACGAAAAGAAAAATGTATGGTGAAGGAGTTAGATATCTGCATCGGTATAAAGTTACCCATTGATTTACTTAATCGATATCTAGCGGTCGTCAAGTCGTCAGTGCAGGAGTAAAAAATTTGCGACGACACAAATGACAGCACTAGCTCGACCATATTAATTAGAATTGGGCTGTCACAACGATTTCAAGAGAAAAAAACAATTTCGCGCACTGAATGCGCCGGCGCTAAATCTGCGGCTACACGGTTTACCGTAAGGTTTATTAATAAGAACAGTTTCTAAAGTTAAGAGAGGCCTCGGCAATGTTAAGAGCCCGAAAGGTGAAGATGCTAGTGAATGAGAGCAATCTGAATGCCGACCATTTTCAAATCGTGCAAATGTGTGTGCCTGTGTGTGTAAATAACGCGGCTAGGTGTACCTTGCACGTACTAAGTGCGATGAAGCATGTCCCCTTGTCATAGGTACATAGGCACATTCTGATCACTATTTGGCTAGGTCGATATTGCGGCACACGCACGCGATGGATCAAAATTGATCAAACGTGGATATGATCACAGAAGTAAATGATGGAAGCTTGTCGCCCGATAGACTGTACTAGGTTTAAATATTATTATACTCATTCTACAGCTATTGCTGCTGTATGTTGTTCGCAACTTGATTCTATTCTACGAACTAGATCGCTTATATCAAATGGCAAACTCCAGAGCTTGCCTCCTATCTTGTTTCATCGAAGGGTGTCCCCCAGTAAGTAGGAGGTGTCTACCTAATCTGTAACGGGGTACCGGATCAACACACCGGACAACCGGTGTGGAGCTACTATCACCAAAAGCAGCGTGAGTTATGCCTCGCTACCTCTGTTAACTCGGCAGAGGAAGGGAACGCAACTGAAAACTGAATAATTGCTGGTAAATGTAAAAATGTATTAGTACAATTAAGTCCTGATAATAAACCTATGTTTGAGTCCTAGCTTAATTATATTTGTCTACAAAATTGCATGCTAAAGTCTTGCTCACCACTCATTGCGCGCACCATTGTTGATCAGAATGCTAGATCTGGCTGATATGAGGGCCCATGTCAGCCAATCGGTGAGTGTTTCTGAATATTGCTCCTTATGGTAATATTCACGAGCATTATCAACAGCTATGATAATATTCCAATTCACAAGTATCACAGGTTAGTTACATGTAACAGGCTCACTCCGTTACATCATCCCCCCTTAAACGATAGTCACTCAATCACTATCATGTTGATATGGTCACCGTTAGACCGCATCAGGGACAGGGAGCACTTGTTTCGGTCCGATCCATTAATTTCTGGGACCTTCATCACATGGTGAACAAACCCATGCGATGCGCGTCGAAATCATGCTGAGAAGGCAGCTGCGCGTGTCAACGCAGCTGATCTTGACGACGCCCATCCAGAAGATGCTTCTTCTTCTGCCGCTGCGTCTCTCGTGGCAGACGATGCTTTTTCTGCTGCCGCTGCATCTCTTCCTGCAGCATCAGTTTCTGCAGATGCACGTGGTGACTCACCACGTGCTAATGATGATGGCTTCCAAGTTGAGCTCATTTATTCGGGAGAGTCGGAAGGTGGTTCCAACTCGAAGAAGATACTTAGGTCTCCCAATCTATAGGGGCGGCCGAATACGAGCCTACGAATAGAACTCGAGCGGGTATTCAGACTCATAGTCACTACGAGAGTATGATTAGGTCGGAGGATGAGCATGCTGACTCATCCCCCGCGCCTGCTACTACGCATCTGCTTTCCAGCGAATGCGGTGATGACTTGCATCATCGTGATGACGTTTCTAGTGGTACCAAGACTTCTGTTGCTACCACGCAGGAGGCTGTAGACGACAATATGCTGTCTAGCCCCTGACCACAAGCCTTGAGTACTGACAGAAAGGCTTGTTAATGATGTGTCATGCGAGACAAGTCTTTATCATCGAATTCCGTTATTCGATGCGAGGCTGTTGCAAAGTCTCGACATCAGCTCTGGTCACTTTTGCACTTAAGAGGACTTCTATCTGGATGCTTTTCTGACGCATCGTTGGTATAGTGGCAACACTAAGCGATACAAAATCTCGTTGCTGCACGCGTGTAACGCCTCTATACTCAATGTGCAGCACATTGGGCGTAATGCCTGTCTACGAAAATTTGACGCAGCTCGTGTCATGTTTGAGGAGCGAACCTTGACTGTTACAAAATACAGATTGCACTATCTGTTTCATGAGGAAGTAATTCAATGCATCACGTGGGGATACCCATGTCCGTGTTGTTTTGACAACAATAAACGCATCCAAAAGGAGGTGTAATCCTTTTCTTCGCCCTGGGGTGGGGCACACATACCTTCTGAGGTGCGCAATGCGATTGCTAGTCTGCTATCGGTCTACCAGCACCCTGTGTGCTTGTTTCTGATAGCCCTTCTGATCCATCGGATGTTTCTCATTGTACCGGTGGACGAGAACCTCAACGCCTATCATCGGCTGGGCGCCTCGCGTCCAGCTGTCGTGTGACGGCGGATAGCCGCGCCGGCGAACAAGATGAATCGTTAGCTGCCCGTTGACGTTGCGGTGGTTCAAAAGACGATTCGAGTGAAAGCGTTGCTCAACGTGTGAGTCCACCAATGTCTGTGATGGGGCAATAAGATCAACTTCGAATCGTTCGTAGGAGTTACAGGTGGAGGTTGGTCGTCTCTAGCAAGACTTACACGATATGTGTGATCGCATCGAACAAGAGAGACAGGAGCGTCCTTATTTTTTGGAGGCGTGGATTGAACACATCCGACTTCATCTATCAGACGAACGATGGGAGTTCCCGTTCTACCAATCGGAGATCTACCGGAAGCGTCAAGTCTTTCGCGACGAAGTGGCTAAAATTCGTCGCCAGCATACGACGTACAGAGCCAGATTGATAAACTGGCTCGGTAACAAAAGAATCTCATGGAGGATCTTGAGCGTGGCGAATGTATTCGCCCGAGAAAGAGAACTCGTTCTGGTGGTATG